TACTTCTTGCCATCACCTTCATTTTACAGGACTATATAATCTGGGTACTCTAAGTCTACTAAATATTCAACTGTGATACAATCAGGACCTGTGTAGTTAAACGACTTGAGAGAGACCTCTATAAGTATGTCTAACACACAGTTGAATAAGACTGCGGAGAGCAGACATCTCTAATGTACACCACTTGATGTATACAACTAACCTCAGGGGTGTTCGAGTACCTTCAAAAAAGTGATATGCTGACTCGCAACCTTTTACAGTAAAAGACATACCATAAGACTTCTCTGTCGACGGGATTAAGTGTTGTCTTCATGTAGAGAAATGCACACACTATCTGTGTTCCAGCACACGGCGGAGTGTGAATATCTGGTCGATACACCGATGTCCAGGTCTGAAGCCTGCCTGGTTTCCGCAGCTATGCTGTTCCAGACCCCCACTTAGACGTCTAGTGATGATAGAACCTAGAATCTTAAATGCTACGTTCGTCAGGTTGATTCCCCTGTGGTTATCACAAGAGGACATCTCACCTTTCTTGAAGAATGGAACAATCAGTGATTGAGACCAATAAAAGGAGATCATATTTGACTCCCACACACTAGCTGAAATTTTAGTTAACTTGACTACAAAACCTTGACCATCGTCCTTAAATAACTCTGGAACCAGTCCATGTGGTCCTGCTGCTCTTCTTTTCAGATTTCTCGACTCCTGTAAGTATTGGGAATTTTATCTCAATGTCCCATTCAGGATCCGACTAGATATCGGGCAACGGAATAGTAAGTGGAAGCCCGATGAACTGTTCCTCAAAGTGTTCCGTAGAGCAATCCTTCCTCGCAGTAGTCTAACTACTGGTTTTTTCACCTCAGTTTAAATAATTGTCTACTGTTGCCTATCACCACCGCCTTTTCCACCTCATTCGTCTTCACTGCTCATTACTGTTCAGTCATTGTACAGAACTTTTGTCAGTCTACACTTGAGTTGCTTCCGCTCTTTATTATGCTCTAAGGAACACGTCCACTTGCACCCATTAGTACAGAAGAAGCTGTTGAGACCTGAGAGTCCTTCCTAATCACTTTCTGAGTAGGCTGTGATCTGAAATACTATTTTCACAGCAGATTAAAAGTGGTACTGAGCTTCTTCTGGATGAGTGATATTGCTCTGCTCCGATAACTGTCTACCAGTTTGTTGATGGAAGAAGCCCTGGTAGTTGCATCGCCGAGTTACACTTTCAATCATCTTACCTCTGTAGTCCAAGCTAACCACCTTTCTGCCTAACTTAGACTACCCACTTATACAATGAAATCACCTGCAACAAACGCCACGTCTGAACATTTGGCTTTCAAATAGAGGCTACGGAAATTTTTGATACAATTTACCTGTAATGTAGTTAAGGAGTATGTAAGTAGAGATCACAAAGACATGACGATGAGTCTCACTACTCTTCTTAGTCCTCACTGTGCCGTTCAGTAGAATAGTGCATGAACACTGTCAACTGGGATGGAATCAAGCAGTGGACTTTCTACTACAGCACTTCTTAAACTTGATCCTTACATTTGAAAAAACTGAGAGAACTCGCTATCGAATCTCCAGAAACTTGAATAATCGCACTTAGATCCTGCGTGATTGCCTCACAACACAGCAATACATCCATAATCTGAGATGATAGTTTTTGTGAACGAACCTTGTTGACAGACTTGATGGAAAGTGTAGACAATGAGAGCTCTAACATTAGTTTGGAGCGCGGTTTCATGAACTCAGATCATTGTCAAAATCAACAGAGCTGGAATGTTGAACGAGAGAAGTGAAGAGATAAAAAGACAGGGATATGGAAGATTGATAATAATTTAAGAAAATGATTGCAACAGGGTTACGAGGTACTTTGGTATTTCCCAACAGCCCACACCATAGAACGCCGGTTCTTCATGACTCGGCTGATAGCTGTTACCTTGGTGTGGTAGTCAGGCTTGCATATCACGATGACTCAACGAGCTACACTGACTGTAATGCTTGTTCCCTCGAGGTCCTACAGTAACAGAGAGCCCTGTTGGATAGTGGTAAAACGAAAAGCAGTTATCCTTGTACTGCACTACAATGGGAGTCTGAGGGTGAAGGTGTACTGCTGCTAGCTGGATGGGGTGTGATAGCAGTGCCACGCCAATGCCACCTTCCCAAAGGAAGAGGCTAAAAATAATCGGCAACAAAAATAACGCCTAATTCACACGCGGAATGCCGATGCTTGCGACAGCGATTTATAGTCAAATTCGAAAACAAACGAACAAAATTGCCAAAACGCTGTGTATAACCAGATATCAGTTGGGCTTTGCGGTGACATACTATCCCATTTTTCACATACTTCAAGAAGAACTAGGCTTTCACGGTGGGCAGCCAGAAAGTGTCAACCGCCCGCACGCTTCCAGTAGTACATAAAACCCGATAAAACATAACCTATCTTCTTCAACTCCTCCTTTCCCTTCACCTCCTAATACTAATATTATGCCTCTTACGTCTTAAGCAACCTATCTACTCTACAACCATCGCAAACGATACAAGTCATTAAAGCCTCATTCCTAGTATCCCAAGACCACGTCAGTGATTTCAAAAAGGAGCTCCCAACCTCAAAACTCTATGCCAAATCGAACAGGAAGCGTCGATCTCCAAAACTCCATCCACGCAAGCCGTATCTCTGAAATATGCATGCAGAAACTGTGTGATTATTCACCTGATCTCACCTAGCTATCACGATGAATCTCCACAATTTACCCTACGAGTATCTAGAGACACAATGACTGGCTCGCATGGACTCGCTGGTGTTGACATAGCATTAAGCTCAGGAGCAGAAAGGGGCACTCCTCGACGGGATTCCAATGAACAGCCGTCTGTGGGTTATCTCACTGAATGTATACGAAACAACGGAAAAGTGTGGTTAGACTTACTGTTGACCATTTATATTCTCCACATACCCAACACAGTCATCATGATACAAAATACACAAAGCTGACAATTTCTCCACAGAAAGCACAACGTTTATGTATGAAGGTTACCTGCACGTATTTACGGGATTCCATGCAAAACAGAACTGTTACTGGTGACCACCTCCTACAACTTTATACTAACAGTCACTTGTTTCTAGACAGCATTAACTTTAGGCATAAGGAGAGACACTGTCTCACATGGCATCCACTGACTTCAAGTCAACGATGGGTACATATAGGTGAGATTGCTGGAATCCATCGTTGGAAAGGATCGGTCGAGGATTGCCGCTCTTTCCGGAGTATCAGTTTGCACTTCGATCATGCTCTAGTACATGTTCGTGTATGCCTGTGCGTTACTGGGTGCAAGAAAAAGGCGGTAGTGAGGCCCAACCGTGCTCGATTGGTAGTCGAAGACGCCAGGTACATATTTCCAGAGGAGTTATCTAAGCATTCATCTGAACGTGACAGCCATGTTGGTCCTGCTGAAACCTGACGTGATAATGAATCTGGTGTAGAGACAGTTAGTAGCCAACACCCGAAGGTTATCGAACGGCAATGAGTTTCTGCTACACCACCCAAACTGATTGTCAGGAGTAGAGTGATTCCATTTGGCTAGAATAAAAGTCTTCGCGTCCATGCAAAACAACATGGTCTGACAACTTTCCACCAGAGGTTTTCAGGGATGGAGGCTGGGAATTGCTCACCAAAGTGATGCAGGTACTGCGTAATGTATTGCAATCACAGGTAGTGCCGCCAGTCGTCTAATTAAGTGGTAATCTCAGTCTATAACAAGGGACAGAAGTCCTGTTTTAATAACCATTGGGGATTTAGTTTGACTAATATTGTGTCGAAGATCCTTGTTCCAAAGCCATTCGACGTCTAACTGGAACTAAAGAATAGCAAACTCGAGGAAACTAGGATTTTAAGAAACAGACATACTGACGGGTGACTGCTGACACTTGTCACATTTAACTTGAAGGCGGCATTTGAATTTGTCGTTTGTGGTAGTGTCTGATTGTCAAGTGAATACTGAGAAAGCATGTAACGTTAATCACAGTTCTCTACTGGAAGTCACGCAACCGTGTTAGGGTTCAAGGATAACTAGTGGTGTTGACTAGAAAATGCGCTACATTCAAAATTACGACACGAACAGGATGGCTAGCTTCAGGAAGAACAAATCATGTGCACATCAAATTCCAATGCTACGCTACTCATCATCATCATCACAGAACAGAGCATACAATGACAGTCAACTCAACTCTCTACCTCAACTTCATCGACTTACAAAACACCTTCGACAACGTAGAACGACAAGTAATTTGGCATTTGTTTCAACACTACAGACTGAGTGCCACAAACCGTTATCAATCTCATTCAACACCAGCTATATGTTGTATGAGGATGCTACATGCCAAGTGATTCACAATGCAAAGTTCAGTGATGCCTTTGAAGTGAAGACAGGGGACCAGAGTAAGACAAGGTTGCCTACTATCACCCATCATCCTCCCATTGTGATCGACTCAACTGGAATAAGCAAGGAGGAATTCTGGTCTGGCAATGAAATAACCAATCAACCAAGAACGCATCGACCAACAAATATGCAGAACAAAGTGGAGATACATTTGATTTGGCATACACTGAGAAGACCATTAGGAGACATCACGCGCCAGGTCAGGCTTTCGAGTCAAACCCAAAGGGGAAACGAGTTGGACGTCCGAGAGTGACATGGAGGAGATGGTGTGAGGAAGAAATAAAAGCTTCTGGGCAGTCGTGGTGCCAGGTTCAAAAGACTAGAGAAGAGAGTGGATGGAGGCGTCCTACCGAATCCCTATGTTCCACTAGGAACCCAAGGGATAAATGATAATAATAAAAAGTGGTTCTCGCATATATCTACTGTCACCATTCCTAATTGACGTCGTTATGGACGTAGCAGTGAACAAAGGCTTAGGTAGGTCTGACTTCACATGAATTGACGTATTCCTTGGAGGCGACAGTGTATTTTCAGGTACCTCATAAATAACCCGACTGACACAAAGAACAGGTGGATAGAAAAAGTGATATCAAAGATAAATTTTTGTGAGAGAGTAACCAATCTAATGATTTCAGTTAGTGCAATATTCAAGGAGTGAATACATGAGACCAACTGTAACCGATTTACAGCCATGTCACTAAGAGTCCCGATTACGGCAGGCAATCTACACTTCTGCACACGGCTTGGAACAACAATCAGGGACTTCATCGACTGGTGCCAGGTTTTGATCTGGCCACACTGAACCCTTTATCTTCAAACCTAATCCAATATCCCCTAGCATGACACATCAATATAAGTGGTGGTTCAGCATGCCCAGTACCCATGCAAGACATCTCAGATCGACTAAGGTTCACGACCACATAAATTGACTTTGTCTTCTTGACTAGTACTCTTCTCCTGAACTCAACATTACTCACACGGTGATTCCACCAAACGTGAGCAATGCTACAAAGACATCTATGATCAAAACCCTGTAATCGTTTTGTATACAACAAGATAGAACGGATTGCAGCGTAGTATACTCATCCTTTGATAGGATTTTTGTAACCTCTCCCTTTCTCTCTCTCTCTCATAAAGTTGAACAATAGAACAGTTCAAAATGATTCAATTCACTACTAGGTATGAGCAATAAAAGTTGCTGTATACAACTAATCACAACTACTACCTTGTGTTACATTCTTCAAAGTACTTTCTTTGACCATAGTGTGAAAAATTATGAAGTAAATACCAATGTGCTTTATACATCCACTACTGATTATTGACTTTTTTTTTCTTCCAATGACCATCTATAATGCCAAGGCAACTTCATTCATAACTCTTACCTATGATGATTTGACAGTTAAGTAAAAGAAAAGATTAAACAGTACTATTAATCAATATGTAATGAAGGATTAAAGGTATAAAGGTGAACATTACGATTGGTAACAACAATAATAACAACAGTAATAATGATGAATATTGTAAATGCATAGATGAAAATTTGTTTGCTAATTTACAAACACACAAAAGGCAGATACTAATACAGTAGCAGTGTTATTCAGATGTATCAACTTGCTCTTCCGTAGTAGTAGTAGTAGTAGCAGTAGTAGAAGTAGCAGTCGTAGTACTTGTTGTTGTTGTTGTGACAGCTTCCGATAAGCTAGTCGTTACTGATGATGGTATCACTGTCACTGGATTAGTACTACCGCCTTCTTTAGCGATTTTCATTGCATTCTCCCTCTTCGCCAAAATAACATCATCAGGAAGTTTGAATAGCTTGAGCAAATTCTTTAACCAGGATTGAAAAGAGAGAGACATAAATAAAAAATAGGAATATAGTAAGCAGATAAGCAGAGAAACTTGTATGCTAACACTATAACCCTAGATTTGTGTAGACAAAGTGTCGTTTAACATTTCAACAGTTTATTACTTTCATTGATACTTTAAGCGGTAATACCCACAAATCTATGAGAGCTGTTCACAGTACTGTCTGAGGTTTTCAATAACACCAATGTATGATGTATTTGACTGTCTGTTTGAGCCATGTAGGAAGATGCAGACTAGCCAGTTGGGATCGAGAGAATAAGAGAAACCAATAGAGGTGGGTATGCCTCAGAAACGATGTCAATGGTGCAGCAAATGCACACACACACACACACTATCCGCATCTCTCTCTCTCTTTCACTACTTTCTACTTTGTCCTGACCGATTTTTCTTTTATTCTTCAAATTCTATTCTATTGCCTTGGTATTTGATGTGATTACATGAAATGTGGCAACTTTTACCGTTACAAAGTCCTATGTTGGTCTTGAGTAAGTGAGTGAGAGAGTTTCAGTGATTCTCTAGTTGAGTTCAGTCAGTGGTGGTGAATACTACCACACAATCAATCAATTCTTGTAAACCTCTATATATTCTACAGTAGAGTTCAATATGCGTGGACACTTAATAGCACATTTACTTCTTTCCAAGAATTTGTACCCAGTATCCATACGCATTATAATTCATCATAAGCAAGAAGAATGGGGATTGAAGGATAAAGGATTATAAGATGTGCAGTATGTAGAATAGTGTTCACTTTGATTGATCATGAACAGCATAAACAAGAGGTCCACAAAAATCAACTAACCAAGGAGTTTTAATTCCTACCATGCTTACTGAAGTTTAGGAGACCGCAGACAATAAATGTTGTTCATAGATTGTTACATATTAACACCTGAACTGGACGGAGGCATATTATTCGCACTAAACATGAGAGATCTCGAACTATCAAAACACTAAGAAGCTAGTTCATAGCCAGTACAACACAGTGAGACTGGGCTTCATAATGGTTACAGCTTTGAAATACCAACTTGATAGTACGCTTTTGTTGGTGTTATTATCATGAACTTAACCTTCCCTTACTTAAACAGGGAACAGATAGATCTTCATTTTTATGATACTTCTAGTTACCCGATGCTTAACAAAGCCGAATTGTTCGACTCCAATGCTGATGTTTTGATACTGCTGGATATTCATAACATGGAGTCCTAAATTAAATGGATTCTTATGCTGATTAGGAAAACCGTCCTAACTCGGCTCCTTAGGTCTTATAAAGTATAAGTGAAAATGAAAGGAAAAAAAAGTTGAACATCAATGCGACCTAAACTATAGATAGATATGCAAAACTTACGATACATTCACGGAAAGTGTTTCGATAACTCCATACTCTTCGGGCATCTTCAGCTGCAGCAAATTTATCCGAATCCACTGGAACTGTAACCTCAGGGAACGCTTTTGGAAAGTGTTTCTTATAGTGATCGAAACTTTTCAGTTCTAAACCACACACACATATAGATGAGCCAACACCAACTTTCTCAATTCTCTTCAACTCCTATATGAACAGAATATGTATATATTTATGCATTTACAAACTGGACAGTTTTTTTTATGGGAGAACAAAACTATTTATTCAGTAAAATGGGGAAACACAACACATTGGAAGCAAAGATAAACTCAGTACTCAACAAAAAAACGCGATGTGCACCATAAAGTCTGACCTCGTAGCTCAGCTAGCTACTAGAGCATCGGGTTGGAAACTTGCTGGTCGCTGGTTCCAATCCGACCAATCCCAATCCAATCCAATCCCTGGAGGGATCATAGGTGCACACTGTTGAGGAGTCCCATACTAATAATAACAATTTAAAAAAAACTCAGTGGATTGATTGATAATTTAAGAACTCATTGACCAATCGGATAAAAAACGGAACTCACCTTTTTATACTTATCTTTACAAGCTTTCCAAAGTTCAAAAATCACATCAAAGAATGACAATGAATCAGTCTTTTGAACTATCCAATTTGGATCAGTATTCTTTTTGAAGAGTTCTTGATGAGCAAGACTATGTAAATGATTTTCCATAGCATCTACACCAATCAAATTTTCATTACACAATGAACAACGGAAAGGTCGTTTATCTCTTGACATTGTCATACCCAACTTTAACCACCACCACCCCCGAAAAAAAAATAATAATCAGATATGAAATGGTTAGTAAGTAATGAAAAGTAGGACAGGAATTATTATTATGGTTATAATATTGATGTTATTTAAAACAAGCAACAAGTGTGAAAAAAGCAGGATTTTTATGAATTCATAAATTTCCGCTGGATACTTCTCTACATACTTGATTATATATATACCGTCAAACAATGGAAAAGAGCATACATACATACATACATACATACATACATACATACATACATACATACATACATACATACATACATACATACATACATACATACATACATACATACATACATACATACATACATACATACATACATACATAACGTAGACTGAGACAGATTTAGGTGTAACAGCATAGAAGTGAATAGTTTTTACAGTTTAAATGGTAATCCAGAGGATAGAAATGGATATTCAAAATTGTTTCGATCCAATATAAAGTGAATGAATTTAGAACGCTGTGTAGCAGAGTCAGGAAAATTTGTTCCGACAGCACACTAGACTACGAAATAGGGACTTTGAAAAGCATGCTGGCGAAGAATGGGTACCCAGAGAGCTTTTTCAACAAGCACGCAAAGTGGGTAGGGAGAAGAACAATGGCGTCAACAGTGCAGAAGAAACCAGCCTATCTCACCTTGCCATTCAAAGGTGACGACGTGCTAGAGGTAGTTAGACGAAGACTGGAGAAGTCCTATCAGAAAGACTTACTACGCAGCTAAACTGGTTCTTTCAGCACCACCAAAAGCGTATTGCAGCAATCAGGGAAAGACAGTACTCCGATCCTGGACACATCTAAATGCATATATCAATTCGAATGTACCTGCGGAAGCAAATACACTGGTCGTACGGAGAGGCGTTTGTCCACCCGAATAGTTGAAGCATGCCGAAAAGAAGACCCCGAGGAGCTTGATAACGAAGCACCTAATGGACTATGGACATGATATTGATACCTATAAGTCCTTTAAAGTTATCAGTAGACAGCAAAATAAAAAGTTGCTTGGATATGTAGAAGCCTGTACGATTTGAGTTGTCAAACCAAACCTTTGCATTCAAAAGGAAATGATAGTTAGCCTGAACGTGACATGGTAACAATTACAACATTGTCTCTGATCATATTTAATCTTTCTTATTTTACTCTTCACTATCAATTATCACTCATCTCATATTTTTGTTTTCCTTCCCTGATTCGTTTCGTCTAATTAACCTTATTCCTATTACCAATGTTATCATTATTATTCATCTCAATATACGCCCTGTTTTCTTATTGTCTGCATAAGTACTATTAACTATCTTGTTTTCAATGACGTAATCAACGCGCAATCGATTCAATCCTGACCCCTATGTCAACAATTTTGAATATCCATTTCCATCCCTCTGGATTACCATTTAACCTGTAAAAACTATTCACTTCTATGTTGTTACACCTAAATTTGTCTCAGTCTACGTTATATATGTATGTATGCTCTTTTCCATTGTTCGACGGTATATATATAATCAAGTATGTAGAGTAGTATCCAGCTAACGAGTACTACCGAAATTTATGAATTCATAAAAATCCTGCTTTTTTTCACACTTGTTGCTTGTTTTAAATTAGTATCGGGAAACAAATGTTTTCAATTGATATTATTAACAATCCTAGAAACTTTGCTAAAACAAAATAGACATTTTCAATCAATATTCATCTGGATAGAACCCAAAAGATGACATAGAAAAGACGGTGATGGTGAAGAGTCTGATAGAATACTCTCAGTTATATTATATCCATGACACTATCGGGGACACAAACAGTCTAGAAAAAAAGAGAAGGAACTGACACAAACTCTTTTTAGATGTTGGTGAACCATTTAGATGTGTTCAGTTTCTCGTTGATTATCATACTGGATTAGACTGACCGGTCCTTGTCTGGAGGATCCACGACGTACATAGGACTCCTTAAGCTGGATGAACGCCTAGTAGACAACTCTTTAGTGTTCGAGTCTCATTATTCACTGGGGTGCACGTAGACACATTTAGTTGACGAGTTCTAGAATCGGACAAAATATACGTCCTGCGTTCTATACTAATAGCCATCACCAAGATGAATATCCGGTAGTATCGAGGCGTCTGCACAGGAGCTCATCTCCAAGAACAGAGGTTGAGCAATCCAGCCCTGTATGGCAACAGGAAATCACGAGTATCAAATCAACGGTAACAAAGCACTCCCTTTACGATAGGCAATGACGACCACAATATTTTGGTTGGATGGGGGGAGGAGGGGTATGATACCACTCGGTCACTTAGACCAAAAGTAGGCGGAGTGGGAATCACAACCCAGGGATACTATCTCAATTGGTTAAGAGATGAGTGTCCAGACCTACGCGATGACCATAGTGGTTAAGACGTTGGACTAAATCCAACCGAATTTACACGGGCTCAAATGTTGTGGAGCTGTGATTCATAAGATTTAGGGGGTCACGGATTTGAACACCACGTTGCACCTACAGAGGTTCGCGAAGCTAGATAGATCAATCGCTCCCACACATTAGGTGTGGTTTATGGTTTACTGCACGAATGTGTACAAGGTTGCTGAGTGGATTTCCCTTCAGATCTACAAGTTACACATCTCTACCTCCATTTTATTTTATACAAAGACGTACATTTTCAAATGAATTTAAGGAGGGATTTGGTTACGTAACTTAGCAACATTCTTAGATCCCTAATAATTTCTACGCCACCTTGTCGTGAATAAATCTAATATCGAATTATTTCTAACTGAAGTCTTGATGTCGTCAATCTTCTTCATCGACTAAGGTGTCAACATGACTGAAGGGGGTTCCACCTTTAAGACGATAATACGTCAACCAATCATTATAAGTCATGATAATAAAGGCAAACAGGAATAGTACTCTATGATTAACAAACAACAATCGATTAACCTGGGATCATTGTCCTGAAAATGAGGATCAATATCCAGAAATGGGCAATAGACTTATAAACGTTAAGTCTACTTCAGATAATGATTGTTGGCATTACTTAGAGTAGTTTATTCGAATTAATTGTAGCTCAATACACCACCCATCCGAGTACTAGAATTTCGACTCTAGTACCAAATATATCAGAGTAAAGTACACTTGAATGTAGGTGTTAGGTAATCGAGTAAACAGCACAATCAAAGGTGCTTTGGTTGTACAGAAGGAAAAAAGGAAGCGAAAGAAATGTGTAACCATAAGACTAGCAGCACTGTAGCAAAATGCTAACAGAGACACAAAAAAGAAACTCATCAATTGAGCTTCTCTACTCCACTGTGTCTATGGTGGTTACAGTGAATACAAATATACACATACACACACACACACATACATACATCTGGTAATTTACCTCTTCTATATATTCTTCACCTGGTGGACCCGATTCTTGAGATAATAAATGTCTTAAATCTAAAAATTTACGTGCGAATAAATTTTGTTTAGATTTCACAGGCGTCTCATTTTTATCTTCTTTTACACCGAGTAGATTAGTATGCGTATCTACAAAATAATTTCGTAATTAGGGTAAATGTGTTATACAAGTATGAAGTATAGGCAAATTCTTGCTATCATTATCATTTTTTTCCTTCAGATAAGTACATATAACACATGTACTGGACTGGTGAAGTCAGTTAGCAAACCAACCGTCTACAACTACTCCACATTGTATCTGATAAGCAGTGAACAGTAAGGATAAGACGGTAAAATCATTGAATTCAAATATATTGTATTCTTGCTAGTAGAACTTTATTGTTGTGATGAGCGTTATCATTGTCTAACCAACCGCTCAAACCACTGCTGACCAATGACAGACATAGGACTACGCATATGAGTCGGTCATACATGACCACATCAACATGTAAAATTTTATTAGTCAAAAGCTGAAAAGGCAGCTAAGCTAAAGGATAGAGCAATAACTGCAGCACAATGTTTGAAATCGATTCCAACAACACTGTCACCCTGTTTATAACCTGTTGGCAGATAAAACCAATGGTTGGAGACATTAGGTGATGATATATGATTCAGGATCGATTTGCAGTGGAATAAATGGATTCAAATGTTTCATAAAATGTCTTACTGTAACGTCTCTTTTCTTTGTCCCACGGTTCTCTACACCTTTGACATAAGCTGTTTTTCATTTATTATCCTGATGAACGACGATGTGGAAACTTGGATCATTACAGCGTAATCTCAAGTCCCATAACGAGTCAATGGGCGAAATTCATGTTCAACACAACAACACATCTGATCATATTCTGTTTCATATAACTGCTAGCTAATTGTATGCTGAAGTAGCGGCTGCTACAACAACACACTTTATTAGCAGCAATAAAACTGTGTGATAAAAAGGCTTGGTGAGGATAGATCAAGACGTGTTTTCAATTTGTCTCAGACTGTTGATCTCAACAGTGCAGGCAAGTCAAGGCCTGCTGGTTGAAGCTCCCATATGAAACGCGAAACCCATGGTTACAGATGATTTCAAGTAGCATACACCATAGAATCAATTAAGGTGGGACAGAGGCACTTTTGTCATATCTCTTGATACAAGTCTTGGAAACTTCACGTCAGGGTACTGATGTGAATGGCGGCATTTTGGAGCAACACACAATACTGCCAGGTTCTGCTTTACTTGTCTACTGGCTTATATGCCTGTCCTCACCGCGTACAAATGATTCCCAGCAACGACTCTATGTCTAACTATAACAAACCCACAAAATCCAACAGAGAACCAGCTATGAAACCCGACCGATAGCTGCTACCTTGACGTGGTGGTCGGGCTTGCATATCACAATGACCCAACGAGCTATGCTGGTGGAACGCTTGTTCCCTCGAGGTCCTACTATACCAGAAAGGTCTGTTGGATAGTGGTTAGACGAAAAGCAGTTACCGTTATAGTGTAAATTGCTATACTATGATGGGGGTCTGAGGGCGAAGTCGTACTGCTGCTAGCTGGATGGGGTGTGACAGCAGTAAGTGTTCCCCTTGGATGACCAGCAGTGCCATTCTGATGCTGCCTTCTCAGTGGAAGGGGGGGGTTTAGAAAAGGTCGGCCGTAAAAGTAACACACTACACTGTCCACGGTCTACCAGGCCGGCGGTGTTGGTTCATTTGTCGTTTCCTTTCGACCATCCGGCCCCAAAAATACCAAAGTTCAAAATAATCATACTCAACAGGCTTCGTGTGACAGGCCTCAAGCAGATGTCCGATGGGTTCTGCGGTCACACAAATCTCTTTCAGGTACCTTAAGAAGAAATAGCCTTCCACGGTGTGGGCAGCCGGGAAGTGTCAACCGCCCTCACAACTCTGTCAGCACTCAAGTTTCTTCTGACTGCTATCCCCACCAGCTATGAAAAAATGCATATAATTGTTTTTTTTAAAACCCGACATACCTGAATTTATATAAAGGCAAAATGAACCTAACGGATCCTCAGTTGACAGTTCAGTTCGATTGGCTCTGCTATCTTTGAACAGTTGATGAATTCGAGCATTTAGTTTATGTCGTCTGAACGACAAGTGCTCTGTGTAACGTGCTCTAGCACTGAATGATTCTTTGCACAATCCACAGTAGATTTTAATACTCTTTCCATCAGACTATTTAAAGAATATGGAAATATAAAGGGAAATTCGATTAGTAAGCATGCATATACACATATGTCTAATGTATAGTGGGTAACAGTTGTATAGGTAAATAATTACAATGGATTACAGTAGATAAGCACATAGTAAGGATAGAGGTAAGTCTTTCATTTTACTAGATGGCCACTGTCTGTGTGTAGATAGCTAGGATAACAGGAATCTGTGCGTATTATTGCTTGGAAAGACTGATGATATTCAATCATCTTTACTGTTGAATATCGAAACCAACACGGGATTTATTATAGATCCTGGTGTAGAGCATAACCATCTTAAATGAAGTATATAAAAGTGACTAGGTCAACTTCTTGATTTTCAAAAGTAATTCACAATATGACTGAAAACTGAAGTAATGTTTGTGTATAATCGTATATTTGATATGTGCTAACTTTCAACGGAAACTTCTGAATGTATACTGCTCACAAGATTTTCATTATCTGATCATTCAATGATATTTTATTAACAATCTTCTACAACTTTACAAATAAGCCTTTCTTGTTATATGTGTTCTATGGAGGAATTGACATAAAAACCACAATAGATAATATTCGCTAAAGAGTAAATAACCTCAAATGTTCCAGGAAGTTATACATCCAAGACAACAGTCCAGCATTTATTCATATATGGAAGTTCCTACAGTTCACCCTTCAAAACTGTTAAATACAGTAAGCTTTTCATTCAGTAAATATTTACTACACATAATAACTGAAAATATTTATACATGTTATATTCAACTATTCATTAATATTAGTATTTGTAATAGAACCTACAGCGTGGAAAAAAGGTGTTTTATTACCACGGTCTGCTGACACCTAAAACAAATATCCCAAAGTGAAAGAAAATCATCAATAAATGTTGGACGTTGAAGAGGGAATGGAAAAACACCAAATGCTAGAATATACAGTTTAGTGTAAGCAAGGTGTTCAGTATTTCGGTTAAGATGTGTGTGATCCCTTACTGAAGCCAGCCTATGCGACATAGACACACACACATTATCAGTGATCGGTAATATTTCTTAGCTAACTTTTATTCAATAATCGGTGTTATAGCAAGGTGTGCGTGTATGCATATATCGGGCAACTTTAAAAAGGTCACCCTAACACAACTGACAAAATAACCACCAACCAGGTTGCGGTATTTTGTCCAGGGAGACCATTTATTATAGAATAGAGAAATGTGATTAGTTGTTGCATCAGTTGCTGAGGTGACCCGTAAAGTCTCATATATGTATATGCGCGGATGGGACTGTGTTAAGCTACACTTGTAATGACTCCGTCAACAACAGTGTAGAACAAACGCTCACCACTGCCGCCGTTATGATGAAAATGTTACAATATTTTATCACATCAAACGTGATAATAGCAGAGACAGCACAGACAGCTAGGGAATTCAAATGATCCAATACTGTGCATCAACAAGTTCAAGGACACGGCACATACTTTGTCTAAACAAAACAAAACCTACACACACACACACACACACGATTATTACAACAGAATTTAAAGTAGAATTTATCGGTTCAATACTAGTAAATACAAAATAAAATTATTGGAGTTGATAAACTAAAAAGGAATCTATGAAAAATAAACACAGAACTCACAGATTGTTCATCCACTGGAACATCATCGCCTTCATCTTCTTTAATTTTAGCTACTGTTTCTTTAAACAATGATAAATTCTTTTTATGCGATTCCGATTTAAAATGTTCAGTCAGTTCACTTTTCTCTGAAAATCTTCTTTCACAAATATCACAATGATTACGACGTGATCTCTTTCTACGCTATTTTATTATAAAGTTAGATGAAGTCAGTAAGTGTAAAAATAGGACAGTAAATTAGACAAAATAAATAACAATAATAAACATTATCAGCTTATACAAACTGAATAAGAGGAGTTATAGTGCGCTTATCGGCCTAGGGAGTTAACTCCTGACATCGACAGTTGGTCACCGCTTTGAATGCCAACTCCGCTTCTCTAGGTTTGGACAACCAAGTGGAATCATCACCTCGCATACAATAGATGTAGCTTACTGCCTACTGCATGAAAGGTGGTTGGCTGTTGAGTACATTTCAATCTCGTACACTTAACACGGTAACAAAAATCCCCCATGGTAGACGACGTCAAGTAAAGCAATTCATTATTTGTCCCTTGGGTTCCTAATGGAACATAGGACTTCAGTAGCACATCTCCATTCCACTCTGTTCTCTGCAATCTTTTCAACTTGGTTCCACGACAACCCACAAGCTCTCATTTCATCCTCGTACGATCTCCTCCATGTCACCCTCTGTACGGACGCCCAACTCGTCGCTTCCTATCTGGGTTTCACTCGAGGGCCTGGCGCGTGATGTCCCCAATCGGCCTTCTCAGTGTATGCCCAATCCATCTCCACTTCCTTCCAGTGCATATTTGTTGAGCAATAGGTTCTTGGTTGGTTCGTCACCAGCCAGTCAGAGTTCCTTGTTGCTTATTCTTTCTGGCCATCTGAGCTTCAGTAAGTAACGAGCCAGCGTAGGCAGTTGTTGATGAATGTCTGTAGTTTGTTGGAAATCCCTTTCGTGACGTGCCAAGTCTCTGAGCCATACAGAAGCACTGACTTGACTGACTTAGTGTTGAAAATCCGGATGTTGTTCATGCTTATGCTGAGTGCAGAAGATCACCACACCGGTTTCAGGTTAATGAAGGAAGGCCTGTCTTGCTGTATTTCTGATCTTGGCTGGCTTTGACGTCCTCGTCTGTGCCTATGCCACCTGCAGTTGAAACAGTGCTGCCTGGATAGGTGAACAAGGCTACTTCCTTTAGACAAGCAAAGGAATAGCCAACAGGAAAATCTATACAGTCAGTCAATGACACAACAATCAAAGAAAACAACTAGTCACAAACCAAGTTGGTCAGAGCAAGTTACTAAATAACTCATGGAGAAATATTGACAGCTAATATGATACTGAAATTAGTGCTGATGATGTCGCTGTCCAGAAAGACGATGAAAACTCCACGACTAAACAACCCAGCTCAGAGAACACAATACAATCAAGACCATCCCCACCTGAGCTACAAATATCCTCCAATATTTCAATAGTGATTTTTATTCAGACAGGTGAACACATTTCCACGTCAATTCGTATCAAAACAGTTGAATCCAGATCCAAATTTGTATTTTGAAAGGCATTCCGATCAATGTTAACATTTCACAAGTGTATAAGCCCCCCCCCTCTAGTCTTTCAATGATTGGAAATCAACGATTTTACAGTTACCACCCGTGATATTCCTGATTGTAGTGGACTGGATCATGCAGCAAACAGTGAGCGGCGAGAAGAGTGCCTAATGTCCTGTGGCACAAATTCGGAGATCTACAGGCGAAAACTAACAAGTTGACAGAAGAGGCAGCGAAGACGGGACTTCAAGTGAATGTAGACAGAGGTGATGAAGATACTCAAACAACACCACCAACAACAACAAGCTCCAATCACCATGAACGGGAGAAACTTAAAGGAAGTAGACTTGTTCACCTATCTAGGCAGCGTCGTTTCAACTGCAGGTGGCACAGGCACAGACGAGGACGTCAAAGCCAGCCAAGATCAGAAATACAGCAAGACAGGCCTTCCTTCTTAACCTGAAACCGGTGTGGAGATCGACTGCAGCATGTGCAACAAGATCCGGATTTTCAACACCAATGTCAAATCAGTGTTTCTGTATGGCTCAGAGACTTGGCACGTCACGAAAGGGATTTCCAACAAACTACAGACATTCATCAACAACTGCCTACGCTGGCTCGTTACTTACTGAAGCTCAGATGGCCAGAAATAATAAGCAACAAGGAACTCTGACTGGCTGGTGACGAACCAACCAAGAACCTATTGCTCAACAAATATGCACTGGAAGGAAGTGGAGATGGATTGGGCATACACTGAGAAGGCTGATTGGGGACATCACGCGCCAGGCCCTCGAGTGAAACCCAGATGGGAAGCGACGAGTTGGGCGTCCGTACAGAGGGTGACAAGTGGTGATGGGGAGGGGGGGGGGCGGTTGGTGAACAATAATTATAGAGATTTTAAAAAGTCATGAGGATGATAACTTTTACCAATTAAGATGCAAATTAATCAATAGAGTAATTAAAATTGGTAATACGAAACAGATTATTCTTAGGTAAGTGGAGTGATTTCTGATAAGTGTTCAGTCATAAACAATAAGTGATTACGCAATAATAAGAAAATAAATGAATATTTATAGAAACAAGGGGGGCCAGGAAGAGATGTACAAAGTAATACTAGGAGTTACATCATGTCGATGGCCACAATAATGAAAATGGTCCAGCAAACTCCGTTTGAATAAAGGTGAATTACAATGTGAAGTAAGCGAACGCATAATCCATGCGGTAAATTGATTAACATATGATGAATAATTTTGAAAGCTTTTCTAGTATCTAATCGATATCCCGTGTCAACTAAGTGTGCACGCATGGAGCTCTTTATTATTCTAAATTGTCCATTGCTCAACCATGATGGGTGGTGATCGGGAATTCGACAACGTAACTATCACCGCAGGAGTAGCTGAATTGATAAGTGCAAATGCAAGCGATAGGATCAGACAGTTTGTCTTTATTTCTTGTACTTAGAATCATGCGGTTGTAGAAGATGGAACATAATTTAGTGGGTGGGAACGCTTTCTGTTAGACGTTATGTGCGCTGTGTGATGATGTCACTGGAAATATCACTCTTAAATTTCAGCTTCAAGAAGGCTTGCTTCTTAGGAACTGTTGGAGACATTGTCATTATACGGCACTGAAGAAGTGTATGTATTGAATAACCTGTCGATGTTGGCTTTCTTTTCAGAAATCCATCTAACCTTCTTACCAGCAAAACATCAAGAAATCGGATACTTCCATTGTTAAGTTGATTGCCGGATGAATACTATTGAACTTATTGAGAACAGCATTCTTATCAATCACACTTTTGAGAACTATGAAGGTATCCATCCACGTAACGACAATATAATTCTAACCGGCTAGTTGTTTCGTTCAGTTAACCATTCTCTACTTTTGTCAGAAAAAATCTGCTAAGAGTTGGGCCAAGGGGTGACCCCGTAGCAACACCATTAAACTGCATGTAGAGTTCACTGGTGAAAAAGAATTTTGCCTTCATCGTACATTGAAGAAGTTTTTTCAATGTAGAGGCTGCGATACCTATTTCAATGCCGTGCTTAGTAAGTTCATTGCAAATGAAGTCTAACGTCGCAATTAAAGGAACGCTAGTAAAAAGAGATGAAACACCACACGATATCATTAAATTATTATCTACTTCCGGATCCTCAATCTTTTCAACAAATGCAAAGGTATCTTTGAAACTGTGCTTTACAACTTCTTTGTAGAGAGACTTCAACCAGTTTACAATTGTGTGGTACGGAGAAACTTCGCCTGGTTAACTAGTTCACTAGTTACTAGCCGGTCCTAAGTCCAGATAAAGAGGGAGATTGCACACAGGGCTAGCAACCTTATTCCACAAAACAAATCCAATCGCTTAAGAAACTTCTAAGCAAGAAGTAAATATAAAAAATGAGGATAAACTTATTCCTAGCTGGAATCGGAGAGACGAAATGATGCCAGTTAGTGAAAGTCTTCGCGAAACCAATTGGCCGATTTATCTCCACTTCTCTCGATGAAAGCGAAAGTAAACGTGGGGACATGGAATGTCCACACAATGTTTGAACCTGGCTGGCAAGACTGCCAGATTACAAAACACATGAGAAGGCATCACATTGAAGTACCAGGAATCTGTGATAGCAGATGGAATGGAAGTGACTCTCCAAACTGTCAACTGGACAGTCAATAATCTACTCCGGTATTGTCACCCAAACGACAACCACAAGCACACTGAGTTTTGGAGTGGCTACCATGTCTTTAAGAGCATCAAAGGCTCTCATGCAGTGGGAACCAATCTCCTCCTGCAGGATCATGACAGCAAGATTCAACTCAAAATGAAGGAAAGTCACAATCATACATTGTTATGCTACGCACCTACAAGTAATGCAGATCAAGAGAAGACGGACAGACAGACAACTGTAATCAGTACTGGAAAAGAACCCATCCCAGTTGGAGACATCAAAATTCTAATGGGTGACATGAATGCGAAACTGGGACCAGACAAAACAGGAAGAGAACTCATCATGGATCGAGAAGCACTCGGCAAAATGAACAAGGATAGAGAATTGTTTGCAGAATTCTGTGCATTTAATGACTTGGTGATTGGAGGTGGTGTGCTCAAGTACAAGAATATTCACAAAGCGACATGGATTTCACCAGATGGACACACTACACTAAACATCAGATCGACTTCATCTCAATGTGAAGAAAGTGGAGACGCAGCCAGCCTACTCGACACAAGATCAAGAAAGGGAGCAGATGTAGATTCATACTACTCACTATCTAGTGCAAGGAACCTTCAAAATCAAGTTGAATGCATTCATGTGAATTGACGATAACTAGTTTTGACTGAAAAAATGCGCCACATTCAAAATTACGACACGAACAGGATGGCTAGCTGGCCGGCTTCAGGATAAACAAATCATGTGCACATCAAATTCCAATGCTACGCTACTCATCATCATCATCATCATCACAGAACAGAGCATACAATGACAGTCAACTCAACTTCATCAACTTTGAAAACGCCTTCGACAGAGTAGAACGACAAGTAATTTGGCATTTGTTTCAACACTACAGACTGAGTGCCACAAACCGTTATCAATCTCATTCAACACCAGCTATATGTTGTATGAGGATGCTACATACCAAGTGATTCACAATGCAAAGTTCAGTGGTGCCTTTGAAGTGAAGACAGGGGACAGGAGTAAGACAAGGTTGCCTACTATCACCCATCATCCTCCCCATTGTGATCGACTCAACTGGAATAAGCAAGGAGGAATTCTGGTCTGGCAACGAAATAACCAATCAACCAAGAACGCATCGCCCAACAAATATGCAGAACAAAGTGGAGATACATTTGATTTGGCATACACTGAGAAGACCATTAGGAGACATCACGCGCCAGGCCAGGCTTTCGAGTCAAACCCAAAGGGAAAACGAGTTGGACGTCCGAGAGTGACATGGAGGAGATGGTGTGAGGAAGAAACGAAAGCTTCTGGGCAGTCGTGGTGCCAGGTTCAAAAGACTGTAGAGAAGAGAGTGGATGGAGGCGTCCTACTGAATCCCTATGTTCCACTAGGAACCCAAGGGACAAATAATAATAATAATAAAATGGTACAGAGAGTTTGCTATGTCGAGAACTGGTCAGAAAGGCAATCCGTTTTTATACAGTTTTGATAGACCATAAAGTTTAAGTGTAATAGTTCCAGTAGGTTTGAGTTTTTCAAAGTAAAGTTCGCTTTCATGTGTATAAACGCTTAGCTGTTTGCATCATGTTTTATTTTATCTACCTCGGGGTATTGTTTGAGTAAACTCAAGGTTATGAGGTTAAATCGCTGGTATGATCTGAAATTGACTGATTGTCTGTTAGAAGTGCTTTTTGTTACTTCGATCTGATTCAGCACATCTCATTCTGTTGCAATAATTTCTATTCATGCGATAGCAATTTAACTGACTTAGGAATTATTATTGGTCGCATAGTTCTCGTGAGCGGCACTATTTTCGCTAGACATCTTAACAGAAATCAATAATATGGTATATATTGCTGTGTTGTTTGCGTTCTGATAACCATCTTGGGAGGTAATTTCCGGCCACGCATAACTCAAAGAAACTTTGAACTCATACAGAAGGATTGACGGTGAAGTGATGTTGACTCTGATTGAAGCTTGAGCTGCGACTAAAACTATGGGATTTCGACAGGTATTCAGTAAACCAAGGATTGATGAAATAAGTAACTAACTCAACTCAAGTCAACAACTATGTAGAAATTCGCATATTAAGCGACTACAGATTACACCCGTCACAGGATCACTATTAACGCTACATGGCTATTCCAACTGCATATCTGGTGTAATTAGACATTAACCCATGACGACTGAATGATTGACAGTTAACCAGACAGACAAAATCAACGTAGAACCTCGCAAATAGGTGCATTGACTCACATTACCACACTTCACAGTAGTACACACAAAGAACAAGTGGATAGAAGACAACGGTTAGTGCAAATACTAAAAAGGTCGAGGAGGTGAGAATATATAAACCATGAAGCGGCGATATGATTGCATTTCTCTGGTATATGGTAGTGTATCCAATCCAATACATGATCATAATATAATTCCCTGAAAAGATTGAGGTTATGAAGACTTACGTTACTTTGAAGTTTCCTTAGTATTTGACTTCTGCCTCCTTTTATTGATCGAATTGGTTCTTTCTTAGCAAGTTTCGCTTTTTTCAAGAAATACAATGGCATTGTCCTCTTTTCAATTGGCCCAGGAGGATATGGTGATCCATTCAACTATTGAATTGAATCAATATACATATGCACAAAGTATTAGTACAGAAAGGAGAGAAAAAACACAGAGAAACGCCCCCTTTTGGCTCTCTTTGCTATCTTCTTCTCTCACTACTAATAGTGATAGTAGAAGTGGTTATGAGCCAAACTTAGTGGGATTTGAACTAATTTGTTTGGAGATAGTGTCTATATCAAGGTTACATCCCTTAAAGGATAGAAGTACGGAAATCTACCACTTCACATGATTACCAGCTATCCTTAGCGTACATAGACTGCATTACATAAAAAGGGGTGACGGAGTCGTAATTAATTGGATAACACATCTCAGTAGCCAAAACCTCTGGTAACTGCACCAGTGGCTGTAAGTTAACACTTGTGTCATCCGTCTCGGTTGAGGAATGGGTCTTCGGAGGCAGTCCCCGATCGACTTCTGAACTTAATTAATAGTCTGCTAACCACTCAGGCAGAAGGACTGAAGTGCCTAGGTGCCACCGTCTAACCACAGTAAGAAAAGGGCTGATATTAGTTGAGAGGTAAATACAGTACAGTTGGCCTCAGCGCAACAACCCCAGCCGGACACTAGAGGCCGTTTCAGCTGGAGAGGTAAACAACTTTTGGGCTTTCTCCGTTAGTAGGAGTGCATGGAATGTTGTGTACACCGTTCCCACGCATATATGTCAAACTAGAAGCCGTTCACATGGTCAAAAACCCATAGATCGGAGGTGATGAATGTATATGCTGACACTATGCAGTCTTAGAGAGTGGTCATTCGCTTAGTATCAGTTGATTGATGCGATGACTTCGCATGATTAAATTTTCAAGTTACCGGAGATTCTCCTGTAGCGTCACTATGTAATTATAACAGCCCAACATGGACTACTTTATAGGCTCTCTATCAGTGAACAGCTGTATGAAAGCTATTCAACTGTGAGTGGTGTAATAAGACCTCAGGAGGATCAAACGACATACATTCGAGTTTTTGGAGTTTACGCCAATGCATCAATTGACTACAGTCAAGGTGAGTTGAAGGATGACATCTGCTAAGAATTATCTTTACCTCGTACAGAGACAGAAACATTGTAGAACCTCGCACACAAGTGCATCGGCTCAACACGACACACTTCAAAGCACATACAAGGAACAAGACATGAAGAGTGACATTTTCTGCCTAAAAGTCATAAAATTCAATACCATGGACAAATGTAGTCAACGATAAGCTGCTGAAGATGCTTTGATTCGAATCAAGCATTTGGCTGTGGTTTCAGGAATGCTAAGTGGTAACATGGTCACTGAAGGTAACTCGTGGCTGCGCAATCTAGAAAAGTCCAATACGAGGACAGAACAGCTGTCCAGGATTTCACCGGTTCTCCAGCTGATGTCAGCTCATGATGCATATCACCTTGAAACCAATCACTCTACGCAAACCTCTGAACGGAAAATCATAGCTGGATGATTTTTGAGAACTCAGCTTGAAGTTAAAAGACTGAAAGCGTAGACAATGGATTAACTAAAACATTTGATGGGAAATAAGCATGATTCATCATGATAGGGGATAACATCACTTCCAATCCGTTTAGAATACACGGAGAAATTATTATTTCGAGTAACCTTCACAAGATGTTCGTTCAGGGGAGAATGCGCAAGAATTCAGCATCGTCCGGCTACTGAGACATATCAAATGTATTGATGTGATGTCATTGGTTAGTGAGACCATTGCTAAGAAAGATGTGTCACAGTGAACCATTTCAGGAGCGGGAGATTTGGATAATGAATACCATCACACAGGTAATAGTCCAACTGACTATCAGTCAACTTTCAGTTGTGGACTGCAAGCAACAATAACACGGACTTTCAACTCTTGTCAAAATCGCGTATGTACGCGCTTTAATTTCGCCGAAATCTTGATTTTATCGATAACTAGAATACGTACATCTTGAAACTCGAAAGGTAACAAAACGAATTATATCTTTCGATATTAACAATTTAGTGCAAGTGAGATGTGCAAGTGGACGATATGTTAGAACGATCGTCCTACACCACCACCACCACCACCACCACCACCAAGACCATCTAATGAATAGACTAGTGGGTCTTCGAAAGAAAACCACTTGAAAAAAGTAATCATCATATAATGTTTATAGGAGAAAGCATACCAGTAAGGTTTCACGAGGAGACGGTAAAGGTGCAGGAAGAGGAGGCAAGCGCCTATCATCTTCGACCATAGAACTACGGTCAATTTTTGGCGTGCACATGACTGGAAGTGGTGACCTGTAAGCACCTACAAGTTGCACACAGAAAAAAGAAACTGATATATGTGATAGAAAGTAGAAGAGAGTTCAAGACTACGGTTATACACGTATATAAAATGTTCTTGTTTTTATATGAAACTTAAACTAGTTGAGAAAACCTGGAGCAATAAATATAATATAGTATAACTTTATCGATATCCGAGTTATTAAACCAACGTGAAGTCTGCTACAGCAGTTCAAGTTGTATCACTGATAGAGAGACGAGGAGACAAGCTGTATTTTTGAGAAAAATCTTATAGTTCAGGTAGCGCCAACCAACAAGTTATGACTTTACGATTCCTCATAGATGCATGTACTCATGCATAAACCACAATTAGGGTGTGGAGGTTTAAAATACTACCCGACTACCCAGGTTGAAGCATGTAGAGGTGGATTTGAACCTGGGATGTGTATCGGATGAAAATTGAGTCTGTAAATCAATGGAGTTGCGTTCACATCAACTTACAGTATTGTAGAGAGGTTTCAGGTTTGTCTGAAACTGATTCTTTTCTTAGCGATATTACATGATAAGCTTATGATTCACTTATCATACGAAGCTCATGTGACAACTACTAGTACTGTCGCAGGTTTATCAATCGACTAGTCGATATTCATCACTTTCGCGAATTGCAATCCCATGATCAACCTGAGCAGTTCAACCACAAACAAAAGACTTTGACAATACACGAAATGAACACATAACGCTTCTTTATGCTACAAAATTACATTTGGAACCCATGTTTACCGAAGGCATTTCAGAGACTTCCATAAGGCATATAATATTGACGAGATCTTGTCACGCATAGATCACATAGTGATTAAGCGTCCACGTAGATTACCGAAGCAGTCGATTATTATGGTTACTCAACCTAGTACATCTTTTATGTAATAGGTCATGAGCAACACTCATTGTGTGCGGGGTTCAGAATATGATTCCCAAAGGTCGGGGTGAAGTAGATGGAGCGAGATTCATAGGTAAGACCCAATGTTTGAATCACATCTCCACCATGGTTAGCGTGACAGTAAATTATCGAGTGTGGTAATACGACACATACGATTAGTCACATATTACAATAAGCCACTTTTATACGACTTCGTATTAAAGTCAGAGTATTCTGAATTGTAAATAACTATACATAAACAATGCTACTATAGCTAATATATGTAAAAGAAAGCAAACCATTCAAGTGAGTTATTCACTATTTGAAAATTATGACATGAAAAGAAAGGGAACTACACATTTACAATATTCCTTACCGAAACCATTCGGTTGGATAGGTGACACATCATTTACTCCACGTCGTCTCGGCGTTGCAAATGACTTAGTATCATGGCTTGTTAACTGAAAAACAGTGGAAATAACAATGAAGAATAATTGTATACCACCTGTCAGAGTAATGCACAGTCACACTTTAAACAAGCAGTATACCACACGAAAATCTGAGTAGTAAACAATATTGCAAAATATCATGCCACAGAGAATGTAAGCAACAAAGCTGTACAAAACACATATCAGCTACCTGATATCTTGGCATATCATCACGACGCTGGTAAAGACAATGATCCGGAACCATGTCATGCATTCGCCGGGAACGATTAACGCCTGGAAGTAGAATGAAAAAGAAAAACAAATACCATGAACGAAACTACGGAAAATTTCAAGTTGGATACTGTTGTGATGCCCCAATCTTGGATAAAACATTGTTATTGATCTCAACATTTTAACGTGTCATTCCCACATTATTTTTACGGTATGACTAACAGTCTATTTCTGCCCCCATTGTAATGTAATTCGCTGATTGGTTAACTTTTACTCTTACTATACGAATTTCTCCAATTACGGACAAGGTCATATTTTATGTGTGTATACATATTCACGTTTTGGATTGATCCATTATATTATATTCTCGGAGTAATACACTCTCCCATCTGCCAGCTTCGGTCTTCTCTATTCGTCCCAGGGTTGCAGTCAGTGTCTCTTGAGTATCAAGTTAGCTGTCAGCTAAGCGTGCGTATTATATTCGTTCTGGAACACATACATACACCGTTAGCGCTTCGAAACCATAACAGATACTTTGACTAACGCACATGAAAGTGGAGTGTAGCTCAGAGGCTAAGGGAGTTAACTTTCAACCAGTGGGTCATGCATTCGAACACTGCTCCACCTACCAAGGTACGTTGTGAATAAGTCTTATTCCTATAAAACACAATTTGTCAGTAACATTACATGGATTAGATAATAAGCTAATATGAAACTGTCCTCTATGAACACATTCATATTACTTTGAATATAATGTTTCATCATCTATACCAAGTTGAAGAACTCTATAAACTGCCAAACTTTCATCTTTTATCATTGACTGACAGACAAAATCAATGTAGAACCTCGCACTGGAGTGCATCAACTCAAGTTGCCACACTTCACAGTAGTACTAGTACACAACGAACAAATGGATAGAATAAGAGTCATATCATAGTAGACAAAGTTGTGTGAGAGAATAAACCATTTGAAAATAAAGGTTAGTGCAAATATTCAAGCTTGAGATGTCTAATAGAGTGAATATTATATCTGTACTACTGTGACCGATTTCCTCCCATGTCACCAAATGTCTCCAACCACTGATTCCTGTCGTCTCATCGACCCCAACCATGCAGTCCACACATGGCTCAAGCCAATAGTCAGGGACTTCACCGACTGATGGTAAGTCTTGGTCTGACCACTCTGAACCCTCTTCCATCATAATCCAACTTTCCCCTGCATGGCATGGCATGGCACGGCACGTCGAGGTAGACTCGCTAGGCGTGTACAACATATATCCAAACCATCTCAGTCGACTGAGGTTCACCACCTCACCAATCAACTTGCCTGTCTTGCCTAGTACCTTTCGTCTGACCTCAACATCATTCACACGGTGATTTCACCACACTCGAGCAATGTTACGAAGACACCTATGGTCAGAAGCTGAAACTGTTTCATGTCTCCTACTTCCAACGGCTGTCTCACAGCCGTACAATAGGACAGAACGGACTGCAGTGCAGTATACTCGTCCTTTGATAGCCAGATATTTCGCCAAGGCCACAGGTGACGTGAGTTGGAAAATGCCAGATAGATCTTCTGTATCCAAGGTGGGATTTCGTCAGCAACCAGCCCGTTCGGCGGGCCGGTTTATCTTCCCAAGTAGGTGAAGTATTCAACACATCCCACCACTTCACTTCGTCATCACACTAGGAGTCGTTGTACACCAGTCCTGGTGCATCATCTTATACCTGAGAGGTGAGAAACGCATGCCAAACGTACAGAGATTTCTGCTCAAAGAGACCTATAGATACTATCTTGACGTGGTGGTCGGGCTTATATATCACGATGACACAACGAGCTGTCCTGGTGGAACGCTTGTTCCCATACCAGAAAGGTCTGTTGGATAGTGGTTAGACAAAAGGCAGTCACCCCTAACATATCCCTAAACAATGAGATGACGCATTATGATGGCCTAGATCAGTCATCGGTGGTTAGTGGTAATCTAAGACCACGGACGTATGTTCAACTGCATCTCCCATGCTGCCGGTCAATTATCGTGGCATCAAAAGGGGCGTACGTGACCAGCTTTAAGCAGATCTTTCCTGAGCAGTGCGGTCATATAAATCTTTTTCTCTTTCCAGTACTTTAAGAAGAAATAGCCTTCCACCGGGTGACCAGCCGGTTAACCGCGTGCAAGCTTCAAGTAGTACACAAGACCCAATTCTTTCATCAAATAAATAATGTTAAGGTATCCGCCTAATTTAAAAATCCAAAGGAATTTTAAATCGTATTACTTGGAAGATATACAGTAATCATACAACAAATTGATGTAAGTGGCCGAGTCGAACGTATACATGCAAATTGGATCGCTATTTTTTCGCATCTGGTAATGAGCTCCTTAACCGCATCCACTAAAAGTAACTAATAATTCCGGCAATTCTGATATGATAAAAACAATAGGCAAGTGATGCGATACATTATGAAGGTAGGTGACACAGGAACAAGTACTTCAAGGGACCTTAGTTCCCTTCAAGGTTGTAGGTATGCCTTTCCGACGAGTGTCTGCGGGCTTGAAACATAGGTTAAGCAAGACTTCTTGCCAATTTCTTTCAACCAACTAACACCATATTATCTTTTATGAATTTAGTCTTTCTGCTTTTCATCCTGACCTTGGACAACTCTGTTCCTCAATTTCTGATGGTTACTTAATCACAAAACCTCTTATGGGATCGACAATGCTCTCGTTTCAATATACATTTTGTATGTATACTGGATGATGATTGAGGGGAAGATGGAAATCTGGACCGCGGCCGGATTTCCAACCAGCAACCACTGGGTTACCGACCCGGTGCTCTACGAACTGAGCTACGAGGTCCGACTGCTGATCACATTTTTATTTCACTTCAATCACCAAGAGTTTAGGCCGACTATCATGTGGATTCATGCAGCATTACCACCGCTTGATTGTATTTACACTGGCTGCCACCAGTCAGGACTTCTCATCCCAATCGAAATCTAACTGAATCAGAGAGTGGGAGCACCATATTGATTATCATTTCGATGTCAGAGATAGCCGTAGTTTGGTAGACTAGTATTTATACTGGGTGATGACTGAAGGTGAGACGAGGTCGGATTCGAACCAGCGACCGCCGGTCAGTTGGTAAGAGCATTGTGCTGGGAACCCGATGGTGGCTTGTTCGAATCCGGCCGTGGTTCAGATTCTCATTTCGCCTTCAATCATCAGCCAGTATAAATACTAATCTGCCAAACTACGGCTATCTCAGTCAAGTGATAATTTTGTATATAGACAAAAAAGCAGGTTCTTTTCATATATTTCTGCTTTCCACTGAATTAGGTTTTGTTTGAGGTTCAAACTGAAAAAAATTAGAAATAAATTCCGTTGGTGTCAACTCAGCGCCAGCACACAATATCTGCAGATCAGTGAGAAAGAAAAATAACAGTGAGTCTGAGTGTGGAGTAGACAATAAGCGGGCAGCAGTGTGTTTAACAAAGGTTGAACGCTAATTTAGAAGACCGGTCACAAAATGAAAGTGGTATAGATAAATTCAGCGACACCAATAATAATAATATTTAACAACGAACAAGATTCAAGCATTGCTTCACCACACACACACATGCGATGATGCGGTGATGTTAAGAAAAGCAATTGCGTTAAGGTAATTCAGCCTTAAGATGCTGATATAGTTACAATTAGGACTGTAACTACTGCTGCTTATAAACAGTAATTGTAAGTAGAATAAAATATATGTATTTATAATATTCCTCACCAAACTGAAGCATATCTGCACCATCCTCTTCTAGATCACCACCACTACCTCGTCTCGGCGTTGTTAATGGTCGCATATCATGGCTAGGAAACTGAAAACAATTAATTGAGACAATAAGGCAAGCTAATAAAGCTGATAGTGTTTGGTGATTGCCAACAAACAGTATGATATAGGTAAACACTACTGAGAATGTGTAAATGTGAAGGTAATATATATTTAATGAGATATGTATGAAAATTACTTGGAATCTTGATTTCTCTTCAGGGTGACGGGGCATAGAACGAATTGGTGAATCATCTCGATAAATAGGTCTTCCAAATGAAGGTCGTCTTTCTCTTGGACCTGTAAAATGATAAGAAAGTTTGCACTAGTGAGTTGTATCAACATATCAATTCGAGAACCCGGTGGATAACTACTGTTACTATGCAAACCGTCTTACATCACCTTGGTGACTGGCAGTGGAATCCAGGACACGCGTTTCGTACTATTTGGGACTCGTCAGCTAGGTATACCCCACCCCAGTGAACGATGTTCCCACTGGGATTCAAACCCAGTGCCCATCGCTTTGAACGCGTAAGCATTCTGGATTCCACCACGAGTCAACATCATGAATATCCGGCAGTATGGAGGCATCTATATAGGAGCCCACCTACTATCAGAAGTTGAGCAACTAAACTCTCTGTGTAGCAAGGGGAAATATTTTGTATCACATTGATTCACATAAAACTATTATCCTGGAAATCGAATCAAAATCCACTCAGCTACTACTTCCATGTTCGTAGGGTGGGCCACACCTATTATTGTATGAGGGCTAACGAATAACTACCAGGCTGCTCAAACTTCAGTAGGTGGAGCGGTGCTCAAAACTTCGACTCACTGACTGAAAACCAACTCCTTAAACCAATGGGTCACAACTCCAGATATGCTGTATCATTAGTGTATAGCCGAGCAATGAATAGTTCAGTGAACAATTCCTCTTTTTGTTGGTTTTATTCTCGAAGTTATACAATCGCAGTTATATACATAATATTATCCAGTTAGATTGTTGGACTTTTTACAAACGTAAAGGAATCTCTCCATTTGGAGGTTTATGAGGACTGATTGATTTCAAAATGCACTCATCACGAAATTACATCAGTTGAAGAGCCATTGAAAACTTGAGAGCTATTTTGTTCCACTGTGGTGGTGGGTTCGATCAATGGCAGAATTGTAGGTGAGCACAATTTACAAAATCGTTGCTCAGTCCTCTTAAGTTTTTGATGTTTTTTCAAATGATATCAGTTCGTGATAAATACACATTGAAAGAAATTTTTATACACAAGACAAGTAAAGAAACAAGGTAAGTCATGAGTGAATGATAAAAGTTGATAATTTTATAAAAGAATCAGCAACCCTGTGCACATTCGTGTGATAGGGGTAGTGATCCACACCTAATATGTGAGGGCTAATGATGCTACCTGGCTGTCCAAACCTCAGTAGGTCGAGCGATGTTGGAACCCGTGACCCACTACTACTGGCTGGAAGTTAATCCCCTAAACAACCAATAGGCTACAACTCCACGTCTTATGGAACTTGAATGAGATGACTAATTCTCGATAGAGAGTTGCGCGACATGATGGGATACTTGAAGAATGAATTTTGACCAAAAAAGCATAGAAAGAGTTGATATTACGTGAGTAGTGAACAGAATAAAAACAGAAAAAGACCGGAGTGATTAGAAATTTAAAAAAAACTAAGACCATGAGACGTAAAGACGTTGAACACGTTACTTTTGCCTGTAAAGTTCCGAACTTTCTATGTGAATAGTTGAAATTTCAACAATGTGAAGGAAAACATACATAGCCCTTGACAAGCTCTTTTTTATTTAGTAAGTAACTTTGAAATACCAACCATGCAGGATAGTGTTACTGAATCCTTTCGGAAAGGATTCACGTTTTATAACGCTATGCCAGGTGAACTTGTAACCACTGTGGTATCTTCTCAACTCTTTATATGCGATAAATGTGAATTCCATCAAACAATTCTTTCGCTTTATAATCATAATCACAACCATATTCACGATCGAATGAATCGATCACTTAACACGGTTATACGCTATGTATAAGACAACAGATTTACAACGTTATTTACTCACCATACTCTTCAATATCCATGGCATTTTCCGGTCCCAGAGTCGAAAACGACTTAGCATCGTAACTTGGAAACTAAATACAAATACGTGTAATAAGAGAAACGATATCAGACAACTTTTTTATGCCAACAATACTGCATATTGAAAAAAACATTTACTCGTAAATTTTGGGAAGTATTTTGCTGAAAATAGGTGGATAATATTCATCTTGGTGACTCACAATGGAACCCGTCAGCTGGATGTACTTGCACCCCAGTCTCTACTGAGACTTGAAACAAGTATGCATCGCTTCAAACGTCAAAGCGTTATCCACTAAGCTACTGGGAGCACGACAGCCACCATTTGTGCGACGGGCACAATTCGGTTTAGTTTGACACTTGTAATTTTCCGTTGTTATACAGCGTCGAATTGCTCAACCTCTGCAGGTAGATGGGCTCCCATGCGGAGGGCTCGGTACGGTCAGGTGTTCATGATGTCGTATCCAAAATAATAATAATGGTAACAATAATAATAACATTAATACCAACAATAATGGTAGTAGTAGAGGCAATGATGATAATATAATGACAATAATAGTATTGACGATAATAATTCACAACACAAAACTTGAAAGATGTATGCAATGCATTACCGGAAATCTTGGTTTCGACTCAGGCCGACGAAGAGCGCGATTCGCAGAATCATCAGTTGGAAAAGACCTATTAAATAAATGTCGTGATCCCCTTGCATCTAAAAATTAAAAAGAGCACGATATTTTTCATTTTGTCACTATGAGAATAGTAACTCTGGATGTGGAAAGCATAAAACACCACATATTTTAGCAAGTGATTTATTATAATGTCTGATAATTCCTGTGCGCGTTGAAAAGCACACAGGTTATTACACTTAAAGTCTGAGGCAGGAAATGACATGGGAACGGGAACGTCCCTAAAAGTTGTATCGTTCACTATGCTGAACAACGGAATGCGATGATGAACGAGTAAAGATCAAGCTGTTTTTAATAACGGATTGTTTAGTTGGATGCTAGGACACTTCAATTTTTTACGCCGACCACAGGATGTGGTTAGCTTCAGTTAGCATAAGGTACTTTTCCACAATGCTTCTCCGACCATTATGGGTTGTTTGTAACAAAATGCATACGAAAAACAATTTCCACTGTATACGCATATCAGTTTGCAACCAAAATCAAAATGACTATCTGATAGATTCTCATAATTTTGAAGTAGTCATTGCCGATCGAAAGTAAACATCTGCTCTGATGTGACTTATTTTGACCCCCAGTACTGAATCTCCATTTATTGATTTCCGTTGTCTGATTAGTTCATTTGTTCTTTGAGCACCTACCGTACTAGAAAAGTCTGCTGCACACTGATAAAACTGGGAGTTACCGACAGAATGTTGTTTGAACCAGGATGATGCACGATCAGTTCCAAAGTAAGAACTTCACCAAAAAGTTGCGAATAACCTAAAGCAAACGTTTCTCAGTATCTCTAGTTATGTATTAAGGTTTTGGGGACAATCCTTACTTGTTCATTTTCTTTTCAATCATCTCAAGAAGCAACCTTTCAGGTTATGGAAAACCGAAAAATGTCAACCAACCTCTGTTAACACTAAAGTTCTTTCTGATCACAGTCAACAATCAATCAACATCACTACCTTCTAATAATCTTACTTCAAATATAAATCTAGTCTTTCGTCATCTTTAACTCCTTCCAGCTTTGAAGTCCCTAATAACGACTCGAGTTAGTGGAGTAGCATCTACCTCCTAAAACACCGCTTAAAACTATACACTGGAGCTTTCAATGTCTACACCATTCGCCAAATCGCACAAGCCTTGCCAGCCAAAAGTCAGCTATCTTGAAACCATGGACGTATGATGTTCTGGAGACATGCATACACAGAATACAAGCACAATTATCCATCTAACCTCACTTGTTCGATATGATGAATCTGCAAAATTCAGTCTTCCGGTTCCCGGAGATTCAACGGCTAGTTCTCACGGTTTTGTAGGTGTAGGTGTAGCATTAGTCTGGATGCAGCAAGTGAACTACTCAACCAGCCATCGTTGTACTGTTCGTCTGAATTGCGCAGTGAAGAGTGAGAAGAAAATAGTTGAACAGGTCGTTATCTCCCTAAAATTACTCCATACACTCCCACTGACTGCAGTTCGATGAAGTGAAAGACGATTTCTAACAAAAAATGTCTAACCTCCTACTGAAAGCTACATATTTAGATATGGTCATCGTTGCGGATGATTTTAAGGAATAGGAAAGAAGATGAAATATTTACAAGGAGGCTTTGAGAACGTCGGCCAAACCAACAAATATTCACGACTGCCAGCTACAATTATGCACAAACAACCAAAAATTTCAAACATGACAGACACTTGCCAACGAAGCGTCTGCTGACCTTAAGGGCGGATACTGAAAAACCATATTTAGCTATCAATTGGTGCTGCAGAGGACTAGCCAAAATGAAAATCGGAATGCACTCAGCAATCATGTGAGCGCTCGTGTAATAAACAATGAGCCACATCTAGTGTGGGAACCAATGATACTACTTGGGTACGCATACCTTAGTAGGTAGAGAGAGGTTTGAACTCGCGAGTCACTTGTTGAAAACCAACTCCCTCAACCAACGAGCAACAGCTTCAGTGGAAGATCACCGTTCATTCTGAAGCAAGTGCTTGGTCAGTGATCAAATGTTAGTTGGAATACACCTATGTCTGCGACTAAATGGTTGTAGAAAAAACTGAAACCGAAAGAGAGTTTGGATCTCAGCTGGATAGTGAAAATAATGAGGTTGATTTTAAAAAGTCGATGAGAAAGCTATCGTTACGAGACGTTATTCATTGTGAAAAACCTGGAATCATCTCAAGTTTGCTGTAAAAACAGCATTCAAAGACAATAAATGACCTGACTAGGAAGGATTGTAGAGTCAGAGGATATCAGCACCTGTTTAATTGATGAATTCACATGGATAAACTCAGTATACAATGAAGAGCGAAAACAGTTCAGAGATGAATTGACAAAGTTTATGCATTAACCATCAGCAGTGGCGATAGGCAACCGTAAACAGTTACTTAAAATTATTAAAAAAAATTGGGAGAAAATGTAGGTTAGTGATAATATAACGAGGAAGGATGTATTTGGGATTCATTTGCGGAGATGATTGTAATGATTGATGGAACACTTCAACTGATCACCACTTAATTCTCAATTGCCCACTATTAAGTTACATTCTGAGTGGAACATTGAGATAGAACCTGCAACTCATGCAGAAGTTTAGGGAGCTATAAGTAACCCGAAACAAGGTAGGGGGTACCAAGCTCCAATGTGCTAGCATCATAAGTATTTAAAAACGGTGACTGAGGATTATCAATGAAAATAATTGAAGTGTCACCTAGCGTACGGATGTGATCCTTTAGGACCGGTCATAACGGATTTAAAAGTATGGGTGAAGTCGATTAGCAACAAATAACAGTTTAGACTAGAGTGCTCTTATCTTATTTAGATAGCAGAGTCATTGACCTCACAAAGCAGATGCAGCTAACAGCCAATTACTACAAATTTTTGTATACCGCTACTTATTATTATCTTTCTAAAGCAGGTGGAGAAAAATGGGAGAAAACGTGGAATTACTTACCCCATTCATCCATTTCCACATCAGGGTCACCTGGTTCACCTCGTCTTGGAGCCATGAAAGATCTCATTTCACTATTCGGATACTGAAAACAATAGAAATATCAGAATAACATTAAGTATCACACCACAGTTGTTTTGCATTATTTTCCCCTGATTTATAGAACATAAGTAAACAAAAAATCATATCAGGCAGCATTACTTGTTCGGATATTCCCTCAAGATACTTAAGGTTGTTCGAAAAATTGCTTTGCTTACTTGGAACCTAGACTTCCCTTCATGGCGATGAGGCCTTTCTGGTGACACCTCCATGAAACTGGATCGCCCAAGTGATGGCCGTGTTTGACTTGAACCTATAAATAGAAGGTAAGTAGAAATTAGGATATATTGCACTGAATAGAACCAGATAATATTGATGCGACAGATTACAACAACAGAAGAAAAACCCGACATATTGTGTCCACGACACCAACATTTTCAGCGATAAGTTAAAAGTCACAAGGAAGTACTGATACACTGGAGGATCTCGGCAAAGATGAAGTTATGTTGAATGAAAAAGTGGATTCTGCCACCAGACAGATCAAATCTTTTCTAGGTGGCCAAAACAAATATCGCAAAAGGGGTCCCTTTACTGACTCCTTGATTTCGTAGGTCAATCACCTAAATGATTGCTAGTTATCATAAACGGGTATGATGATGTGAGGTTCATTGTGTGTTTACATGAGTATTTATGGTATGCAACCTTGATAACGTTAATTTCAATGCCTGCAGGCTACTAATAAATGGTAGTTTGTAATCAGTATGACTGCAACTCATAATAATCTACCAGTAGTCAAATACATCATCTGTGTAAATACATATGATACCCACAAAACTGACGGTTATTAGCCAAACAACAGTAGTAGAGTGTGAAATGCATTGAAAGTTTGAAAATTAGTTGTTCTTTGACATAACTTCTTTTATAAACTGGATCACTTCTAATAGTGTGGTGTTATATGATGCCGTGGGACCTTTACGACACAACTTTAGTTTCAGATTGCGACCCACTGTCACGTTCTGATCGATGAGAGGGTTGGCAAAATCAGGAAACAGATACACAAATCCTAGTTCACTCATATGTATCTCCTTAAGTCTATGTGTACAGTACAAAAGGACGTCTCTTTGACAGCACAAAAAATCAATGTAAACTTAATCCATGTAACAGTTGAATCCGTTTGAGTTAAATAGGGTTTAAACGAACCATAACGACGTGAATTAGGTGCGCGATCAAAGTTCTCAGCCTATAAAGCAAATATAGAAACAAGAAAAAAATAAAAGCAGAGATAAGTAATTTCTAGGCACATAACAGACTATTTTGTATAACACAAAGTAAAAAGGACAATTCTAAGTGTAGAAATCTCAGCCCGGATACAGAAGATCTGTTTAGCATTTTCCAACTCACGTCACCTGTGGCCTCGGCGAGATATCTGGCTATCCATCAAAGGACGAGTATACTGCACTGCAGTCCATTCTGTCCTATTGTACGGCTGTGAGACATGAAACAGTTTCAGCTTCTGACCATAGGTGTCTTCGTAACATTGCTCGAGTGTGGTGAAATCACCGTGTGAATGATGTTGAGGTCAGACGAAAGGTACTAGGCAAGACAGGCAAGTTGATTGGTGAGGTGGTGAACCTCAGTCGACTGAGGTGGTTTTGATATATGTTGTACACGCCTAGCCAGTCTACCTCGACGTGCCGTGCCATGCCGTGCCATGCAGGGGAAAGTTGGATTATGATGGAAGAGGGTTCAGAGTGGTCAGACCAAGACTTGCCATCAGTCGGTGAAGTCCCTGACTATTGGCTTGAGCCATGTGTGGACTGCATGGTTGGGGTCGATGAGACGACAGGAATCAGTGGTTGGAGACATTTGGTGACATGGGAGGAAATCGGTCACAGTAGTACAGATATAATATTCACTCTATTAGACATCTCAAGCTTGAATATTTGCACTAACCTTTATTTTCAAATGGTTTATTCTCTCACACAACTTTGTCTACTATGATATGACTCTTATTCTATCCATTTGTTCGTTGTGTACTAGTACTACTGTGAAGTGTGGCAACTTGAGTTGATGCACTCCAGTGCGAGGTCCTACGTTGATATTGTCTGTCTTACATGTAAGAGCCGAGATATTTAATTTCTTCTTACCTTATCAGATATGCAGAGAATATATGCTCTCGTAGAGAGAGAATAGCCACTTCAGAGTCTATGCATTAGGCTATATAACAGTGAATACAAAGAGCCGTAATCTAACCAAGTGGTAGGAGAAAGTATGTTGGCAACGTGTTCTATTATTGATCTGGGCACTAGACCTGCAGTCATCAGGTTACAAATTCAAGGCCTGGGTATCATTAGTATTTGCATTATATGTCTGGTCCGTATACCAATCCATGGACTTGCACATGGTTTATAAGTTACAATATTTATTGTTTTTCAAGTTGAAAATCTGCAGTCTATAACATAAATTCCAGTGTTTTGATAGTTCGCATTAGATTTCTAAACTACAATGCAGCTTCAGTGTGAGTTTCATATATGAGAGTGAATATAATCAACCTCCTGTAAACTATCTAACTTCATATGTTAAAGACTTTGATATATACAGGTCATTGTTGTTGTGTCATTCGACTGGCACTCACTCTTATCAGATAATATGGTTGTGAATTTTTACTAATTCAGATGGTCAGAGCATGTGTAACAACACCTGTCTAGTCATTGTCTACCCCAGTGAGTAATGTTAACTGGAGTAGGTTTGGTTGAACGTGATAGGACTACGACATGATCGTTATTTCAAGTTGTGTAGGGCAGTATAAGCTCTTAGGCTCAGGTCCATGAGAAGTAAAACCGATGAATGGGGATGCTAAGTGATGTAGTTCAGAATGGATGACAGTAGTATCTTGCATACATGCCCCATCTTTAATCGTTAGTTCACACTTCTACTCCTGATTGAATTTTTTCCATGTTCGAACTCCATTTTCCTGCTATGTATCCAGTTGTGTTGATTTGTGATATATCAACTCATACTGTTACACAGTAATGCTACGACTAATTTTCATACTGATTAACATTATTGTGCAGATGTATCCACACATTATCTTAGTCGCCATACTGAATTCAGTATTTTTCTATTCATCGTTCCTCTCATTTACTGCTTTCTACTACTTCAGGTTAACTCTTTTCTATTTCTTTATCTTTCATCTTAGTGCTTTCTCGCTTGATGCGTTGATGTGTGGCGAATCGGACCAATATGCAGTAATAGCTGGTCCTATGTTGCTGTTAACGGTGTGTAATGAAATACATGTAAAGACATAAAAATGAATGCAAAGCGAATCACCTTGAAGAATTTAAACTACATCTCACTAAGGTGGATTTAATAATTTACCTGGTCCATATCGTTGTAGAAGTTTTCCTCCTCATAAGTAGGATGTAAGCTTGGTTCAAATCTGGACATCGATACAGATCGACCATTATGTGGTAGTACTTGCGATGGACCTAAACAGTTAGATGAATATGAGAAAATATTCTTAATCAAATACTGAAACATATACATGCATGCTATTGATATCTGTCCGACAGAAAGACAATGGGACACCACCTAAGCATGCTTTTCTGAACAGTTAAGTTTCACGATGAGACGAGTGACTGTTAGGCAGAAAATGAATAAAAAGACCGACAGGAGTGATATGGAGTTGAATACCAAACATCATGAGCAGGCATCGATAACAAGAGCTCAGCAACACTACCCCACCTGAGCCAAAAGTATTCTCTATCAATCGCAAATCCGAAATTTTAAGTATGGTAACACCCTATGTAAAGATCACAGCAGAGTGGATAAGAACCTGAAGTTATAATCCGAAAACAAGAAAGAACGATTTGCAACCAGCAAACAATGCAAATCTACGTCCGCACACTAGCTTGTGAAAACCTTTGACTCCAAGTACAAACGTAAATATCTGCTTATCATTCTGAAAAGTGTTTTTCGTTGTATGTCAAACTTGATGTATGCACCACAGCCTTTTTCGATTCACAGAGAAACTATACAGACCAATCATGTCTGGTGCTGAAATTCTTCATAGGGATGCGCAGTGATTACATCATCGAGGCTTGTATGCTACAATTCGTAAGATGCTGGACAAAATGTATCCAATTGTTGGAAAACAACTAGAGTGATCTTCACATAAGCGAGACGTAAGTCTTTAAAACAATGAAAACCTAAGGAGGTTAGCTCAGTATTAGTAATGTAACATACTCCGTCAAATGTAATAAAACAGAAGTAAAGTTGGTCCGAAATCCTACGTTTACGTTTACATGAATCATTTTCAGGATGGTCAAATGACCCGAATTGCAGTATCTTTCGGATATATTTGCGCTCTTACAAGCAGTGTCAACTTATAAGCGTGTAGGATGGTAGGTTGTAGTCTCAAAAGTTATACATGCACATAACACCTGGCTGCCCAAACCTCGTCAGATGAAACGGGATTCAAACCCGTGACCCCTTGGTTGATAGTCAGCTCTTTAAACGAATGAACCACAGTTCTGCAATGCGGAAGCGCAGTTAAGCACAAGACATACATGTTATTCAAGGAGAATACGGCGATCATATCGCTCGACAACCTTAAACTCATATGCAGTTATAACATTTGTAGACATTTCATGAATGAAATCGCAAGTGTTCGATAGTTTGAAACAAGAAATATGGAATACTTGTGATTGTCATTTCGTGATAGAGTGGCTAGGTGCGGAAATATTCGACAAACAACAGTAGTAATTATGACTGCAACAAATGCGGTGAAAACATAGGACGTGGTAACTTATGCAACACAAAACGATGTAGGCAGCAATTTGTCGATAAACTACCGTGATAGGCAGATTCAAACAGAACAAACCATCTGTAGTTTATGATTCAAATAGAACTAGATGAATGCAACTTTGAAGATTGTTAAACAGGTTTTCGCTTCAGTCTTTCCCCATATGTACAGACTGTTTCCTACTGAGGTCATTTCGCCCTGACATTTGAAAAAAATCAGCCACACGCTGAGCACTCACCCCGTGGAATTGGAGACACTGGACGAGGAAAAGATTGGCGACTCATACGATTCTCTTGTGACCTATAACTTGGTTCCTGATGGAGAAAATAAATACATAAACAGAAAATAACGAATGAAAACTATCATTCATGAACGACACTGTGAATTAGAAGACGTATTTACAGCAGAAAATTTGAGACATTACAAATTACTACCACCGCTAGAAATCTTGTCGAAAACTGTGAAACGTTGGGCAACTATTTCGTCCTGTTTTTAAACTCCTCAATACTACACACTAAAGACCAACCTTAAAATTGAACGTATTTATAATCGAAACTCTAAGCTATTGCGTTATCAATGAAAAGTTAAGTCCGAAGCTAACTGTCACTGATATAGTTTAAGGTGGTTTTAGCTACATGATGACTGGAAGTTTGAAATGATCACAGTAGACATATCGATGAGTGAACTATTCACTCAATCTCCAACCAATAGGTCACATGTTCACACACCATTACACCGACGTCTGAGCAACTAAATGGCATCATAGCTCTCACAAAATAGGTGTTTTTCAGTATATGATATGTGGACCTGCAGGTGTTTGCTGATTCACACTTAGCTCATAACACCAACCTGTAGGATACACTAATCATGATAAAGATCGTGGAAAATCCCGAGAAACAAAAAAAGAGCGCATACAGATGTATATTTGAGGCACAAGAATTAAGGTTACGTTGATACTGATACAATACGAAATAGAATAAGCAGAGCCTCAGAACATACACAACAGCTAAGAGAAGGAATAGAGATATTCGAAGACTCATACACGTTAATTGATTTAGTAAGCTTACTTTGATAAAGAAAAACAAACAATTTTATCATTTTTCAGTTGCAACACGAAAAACTGTAGACTTCCGAACCTATTTCATCAGTATAAGAAGAGCTTTGTAAAACAAAACGTGATACTACCCGAATGTTTGGAATTAGAAAGGCGTGTCGCACCAGCTCAAGTCGAGAATGTGAATCTCAGATAAGTGCCAATGATCGTGTTATTTTTATTTACTTTGGAAGTTGTTTTACATATGACCTAATTGGTAACACCATTGTATGGCTCGGTTCAAGAGCTTCTAATTGACGCCTAACCCTTTTCTGTATGACTCATATTTCGGAAACCTTTTGTTAAATGGCTGTGCGTGGTGGCAAAGTGTTTGCGTTTAGTTTTCTTTCTTTTTCCTGACTCAACTGAACCTTTTCACAGTTTAAAAAATTAAACGCAAACCCCAGGAGTTTTATGGATCTTAGGCAATAACAGTTCATAACAACTTTTTTCATGAAGGCATGTCAACTAGGTCACATTGTGAAATTACGAAGACTCCAAATTCTCAGGCATGCAGAAGCTTAAGGATTAGCATTGTCACGATTAATAGAAAATATTAGACAACATATGTGAGCTATTTATTGAGCAGAATTACCTGTTGGTTTGAATTCCGATGCGCCCTGACGACAAAATACGGAGGTGGAGACGGGGGTTGTGGTGGTGCAGCACGTCTTTGATTTGATACTACAAACAGATGAAAAACTTAAAAAATGTACGAAACAACAAGAGTATGCTTGGAGACTTGCTTCATAATTGATACAACTGTGATTCATTTAAGGTGCTACTCTTATTTTGGACTGAAAGATTTATCTAGCAACAAGTCCAAACTATTAGGAATAAATCAGGTGAGATGAGTTAGATGAATCACTGCTGAAAAACTTTAAACTACAATTAGTTAGTCACCACACATAACTATCCAACCTACATCTTACCATAACCCAGAGAGTACCAATACAAAAGTATAGCAGTGTAAATACATGAAGTGAATTTTCGTGAAAAACTTCAGCAAGGTCAATACAAATCAGTAATAACACCGAAATCCAAGCCTTTAGCTGGGCCAGACTTGTTTTGAATGCCAACACTACTCATTTACTGCGCAGTAATCAGAAGCTAAGCTTAAGGTAATGTTAAATTTACTGCCACGTTTAGACTTGTGAATGAGTCAGGACGGTTAAAGATATGACCTAACTATTCAGAATAATGTGACCGATTTCGAACATCACACAGCCTTCAATCACCCATTTCTATCATCCTGAAGAACCCAGTCAGACAGCCTACATCTCTGCATGATTTAGATTGACAACCAGAGACTTCATAGGTTTGACGATCCTCAGCTTTCTTCCAATCCAGTCCTGCTTCGGTCAACGTTGTACGCTGAGGTAGGCAGGGAATCAACATGCACAATACCTTTTACAAGTCACCTCAGTTGGTGAAAGTTCACAACTTCATAGACTAAATTGTCTTCTTTGAATAGTACTCTACGCCTAACCTTGCTATTTCTCACATTTCATCACGTGGAGCAATGCTATGAAGACGTTTATGGTCAAAAACCTGTAAACTTCTCGTATCCACTTTTAGGGAACCTGGTTTTCCGGCCTTATAAGATGAAACAAGAGGGCTTTAACACAAAGTACTTGTCCTTAGTTTAATAATTAGATATCTCTCCAGTTAGGAATGTAAGCTAACAAACAAGAGTGTTGTGTTCAAACCAAAATCTCATCATCAGCTAACCCATTTTGGTTGATGTAACTCTTCAAGTTAGTGAAGAGGTCAACACATTCTACTTCATCCCTTACCTTTAAACTAGGGGATGATGCAAACCAACACTGAAACATCATTTAAATTCAACATGAGTAAGACGCATGTTTAACATGTTCAGGCGTCTAATCAAGACATTTAGAAGACTGTAATTTCATTTTAGTTTGTTTATTGGAATTGTCACAGTGAAACAGCATTATTTAATGGATAACGTTTCGGACATAATTTATTGTCCATATTCATATCATGACATGATCGACATCAACAAAGTAAAACAATGTAATATTCTATTTTCCGGTGTATACTCTATTCGCCCTGCAGGAATACACGGATGAGATGAAAATATGTAGCTTATATAATAGTCTCTGAATTCAAATGACAGAATGTGAAGCTATGTTGTGTGAAGGTTTACATCCAAAACGGTATCTCTATCAATCCATGAAAATTTATATTCCTGGTCGTAGAACTAGAGCCTCTAAGTAACACATTCAACTGTCTCGGACACTATTCTCCGACTACACGGAAGTTTGGATGCTAAATGATTTCTTGGTATCCACACTGCACCTAATTTGTGCTAGAATAAGTTAATAAAGACTATGGTGATCACTGTATTATTGCAAGACTCAGTCAACTAGGATGAAGTCATTGTCAAGAACTTTCAAATGATCGTTTCTACACATTCAACACTAATTTGACGGCGCTTTATTGATAAAACAAAAATACGAAGTACTTCCATAAAAACAGAATATTTCATTATTCGTCAATAGTATTACCTCTAGAAGGCAGTGAACTCCGTCCTGCAGACAGCGTCTCAGAATAAGGATGCTGCAAAGATTAAACAAAAAGTATAACCATAAAGATATTCAGAAAATTTTTCGAGAATACAGAGATATAGATACTTTTTCAGTTTATGGACAACTTATTTCCCATTAATCTATTTAACTACAGGAAGAACTACACAGCAAAAGATACAAAAACCGTTCAATGCAGTTAACTAACGAAATCGGCGTTTATTTACTTGTTGATAAGCCCCAGCATGAACCTTATAACACCAGACCCAAAAAACCACGCCTTTTAACAACTACCGTCGTTGCAACTCCACACGACGGAAGCCCCGGCATACGACTTTGAATTGATAAGCTCTAAATTCAAGTACAACTTCGGCGACAAATAATTTTTGGCAGAGCTGGTCGTTCGGTCAGTTGACTAGGTTTGGTAAAGACTGCGAATAGATGCATCAATATGAACTACACCCTGCTTTGAACATCGACAGCTGCAAAGTATATTGCTGCTATGATTAGGTCAGTTCGGTAAGTGACATCACGTATAGTGGTTGTCCCTAAGCTTACCTGCATATCGACCCACATGTTCAATTTAAGGCTTTACCTTGATTTTCCAGCCATAAATTGATCAAGTTTGAGACGCTAGGCTAAGCTGCTGCCAGGAAATGTAGTCAGAACATGGCTTAATAACTACTTTACTATTTAATCCATGTTTTCACAATATATACTGGACTCATACAACTGAGGATATGTAGACAGAATCGTCAGTAGTTAGCAAATAAAAATGAACTTTAGAACCAAGGCATTTGAAACCTTCGATAACTCTGCATAAATGTATGCACAAAATGCGTTACCAGTACAATCGAAATACATTTGAAAACTGGGGAAAAAAATATGCTAGACATATTTTGCGGATTAACATCTCAATAAGACCAATGCGCGTAAGGATGTATACATATATACTGACCAGTCATCAAAGCTTCACACAGACTTCAATGTGACCTTAATATATCCAAACGCCCACAGGTGACAAAACAAAAATGTCCAGTATTTCCTCAACCTCGGCTCCGGACACCCATTGATGAACGGTTTGCGCAGATGTGCTTTAACAATTACTTGCGCCTAAAAAGCACCAAATTATGGAGACAAAAGTAGATATTGTTTGATGTAATGTCTACTAAGACGGTGAACACTTATTGTTCCAACTTTAACCCTATCTAGGTAGGCAGAGACACCATCAAAGTCGAACCTCGCACAAAAGTGCACTGGTTTAAGTTGCCAAACTTCACAATAGTATACCAAAGAGCAATTGAGTAGGAAAGACTGATATGAAAGTAAACAAAGGTGCATGGGTGATGCCTACCAGGATCATGCTTTTTACTGTTCGACTTCATCTGACGCACCACGGTTACCTGTGTCACTTTAGACCAATGTGTAAGACTGCTAAATCCTACTTCATATTTCATATCAGAAACTTGAACAGGTATATCTACATGAAGGGCTCTTCAGCTGACCTAGCCCGATAGTATTCGTGGGTATGCCTAAGTGACTGTCATAGACTAACTACATTTTTTTTAGTTTCCGCTCTATATCCTTCATCGTAATTTTATGAAACAGTAGTTACTTGGTTACTTACCTGTTTTGGATAGTTGTAACCAAAGCCTGAATAGAAAGAGCCATTCATGGGGTTCAAACCTAAAAGTTGTGATCAAAATCGGATGAAAACAGTAACCACGTGGAAAGAATGTTTAACCAATAAAAATGTGCTTAGAGCAACGAACGAACTGAACAAACTTTGAATCGACAGTAAATAAGTAAGACATACCTCGTGGTTCGGAACAAGACGAAGCATAACCATAATGCCCCATGGAATTATTCATTTTAACTGCTTTCTAGGCACACCTAAAACAGAGTTAAAAAGTTATTTCGAATACCCAGGATCTTTGTATGACAAAAAATTAGTAATTCAAAATAATACTCTTCAAGCGCAAGAAGTAACTTTATAGAAGACCGTCATGAAGTAGATATCCAACTAGCTTATGAAAGGTAAATAAAAACGCAATCGAAGTCTCTAAGTCATTCAAACTATGCCTAAATTTTCTTTTTGAATGTGGCCTGAATTACCCAAAGTACGACCGAATTGCAAGTCACATGTGGCTGCCAACATCAAAGCTGATAATCCTTAGACATGTAAGTCTACAACTTATTGATTTCATCAATAAAACAGTTTAGTTAACTACTGGTGTTAATGTCTAACAACGAAATATGCATAGTTAGCTGTAAAAGTGATGGAAATGAAGTTCGTGACCTGACTTCAGAAAAAAATCTCAAAATGGTTATTCTTCAAACAACTCAATGTAAATGAAACGAAACGTAAGCCTTTTATGGACTACAAAACTAATGGAAAACAAATCAACATGGAGACAGCAACCATACTGTCTATCCCGCCAAAATCCGGTGTGCGGAAAGTACATTTACCCACTTCAACTCCAGTATACAATGTCCAATGTCTACTAGGAAAGCTTGTGTAAACCAGTTCTTTTCTTCGAATTTGTTCCTAAGTCCTGCAAAACTGTTCCGGGCCTCTGGTGGATTTCAATACAATAGATTCAGCCGCTCACCTAAACATCAATAGTACGAGAGGAGGAAACTTGTAGCTTTTGAGGCTTGGTTCTTTTCGTTCGGTTATACTCCTTTGGTGGTAGAAGAAGTCTCTGTGTTTGTCTCTTTTATAGCTTTGGAGGTGGTGACCGTCCATTTGAAGGTATTTTTTAGCAACCTGTATCTTGGTCTGTTTGTAGGAGCAACGGTAATGCTGATAACATCAATGAACCTTTTTCAGCACCTGTTGTTCCAAGAACTTAAAAGTAAGTAACAAGCGTTATTTAGAAAGTGCTAGAAGCGGGGAAAGCCGGAAATGAGAGAAAAAGAGTGAAAAGTATTGATGGAAAGATAAGTTTTACCGGTAATAATTTGGAGACGGGTGGGTCTTATTGCAGATACTATGATTGGGGGGTGAGGAGATAGATAAACCTACCTTCAGCTGCTACTGGCGAATGTTTGTGCTCGGGCACTTGTCTAACATTCGTATGAAGTATTCAAGTCATGAAGCTGTGGCTACTTCCTTCGGCAGAGCGTTCCACAAGGCACGCACTTTATGTGATGATGAGTCTGACCTCATTCACGTCTTTGCCATATGGTGGGGTATGCAACTAGGTTTCCCGCGAGACTGCCGGTTTTGAACCGATAAGTTGACCTGTGGGATGGTCGTCCCAGTGAGCGACCTTGTAAGCTGTTATTGGGTCACCACTTTTCCTTACATAGTCTAATGCGAACAAGTCGAGTTGTCTAAGACGTCGTGCATGCGTTTTTCCTATTAGTCCGACAGCCGACCCTGCGACTTCTCTTCGTACATTCCCGAAAGTACCCGCATCTACCTCTAGTAGACGAGAACCATAGCGTTGAACACTTCTTGATCTAGTCAAACATAGGTCTTTAATGCCAGGAGGAATAACTCTGCGGTTAGCACGCCAAGCTGCCTTCTTAGAGGGTGCATAACGGCATTCACCTTTGGTGCCGTTTCCTGATGGTTGGCACTAGCATACAATAAATCAAAAGGGTTTATTCGCAGGCCTTTCTCTGTGGATACCCTAGTAAATACGCATTAATAAGGGGTACAGTCTACTTTCACCTCTTCCGGTCTGCGAAGATACATCACCTTGCATTTCTCCAGCTTAAGCCATTTGCAGCTGGCCAGGACTTCAGCCGTTGTAGGTGGTCTTGGAATATCCTAGAACACTCTCTCCCACCCGTTATCCTCCACATTCTGACGTCGCTGGTAAATAGGATAGACGAGAAAATATTAATTGGAGGGTCACTGGTGAGTGGTAGAAATAGGCGTGGCCCAAGGAACGCACCAGGAGAAACTCCTGTTCTTTCCTTCACCTAGGCTAATCGGACTCTGTTTACTTTAGCGCAGAATGCCCTATCCCTTATATATGCTGTAAACTATGCCATGGGTGGTTCAGTGATACCCAATTTCGCAAGCTTAGCAAGCGCGGTATAGTGTGCAACGCCAACAAGAGCTCTGACCAAGTCGAGGAAGATAGCGAGGACTGGTTGCTTGTTCTCCCATCTCGTGGTTCAGTCGTCCTTAATGATCATCAAGTTTGTTGCACATGAGCATCAGCCTCCGAGGCCATGTTCGGTGGGATGAACGATGTTGTTTCCGTTCAGGCAGTCCCAAAAATTATCTGCAACCAAAACTTCCTGCAACCTGGATGGCGTGGCAAGTGATAATGTCGGCCAACAAATCTACGGACATTTTAATGATTATAATAGTGGTAATATATTTGGAATAGCGAATTATACTAACATATGTCAACTTTAAAAGCAATATCTAAATGTTATTTCCTTATCGAAGCTGTAAAAGTTTAGTAAGAAGCAAATCATCGCTCCATACAAAGTCTTCTGGAGTAGACAGTCGTTTAGATGTCGCTGGCCACAAATATTGGACAAGAGCAATATCGTTAAACAACAGCGGTAAAAATTAATGAGGGCATAATCACCCTGTATGATAAGCAGTGGTGGGCCATGACACCTATGGGAGTATATTTCATATCAAATATTGGGAACAAATGAAGCTGAAGTTAAGTCAGTGTTCAATGAATTTTGTACTATCTACAGATAGCACGAGAAGCCAGAGTTAAATGCTGTGATGGACGGCGGGGGGAAATTTGGGTCTGGAATTGTATGGTTTCATGGAGAGTGCAGTAATTATTTAGGTCGACAATGTTGAAAACAGAGTCATTTGAATAAGTTAGGCCAGGGACGCAATTCTCTCCAGCTGCTGCTGTCATATTACGGCGAAGAACATATGAGGTTTCACCATCAAACGATTTAATAAGACTTCAAGGTCGGGGCGCCACATGAGGTCACCTTCGCTAGCTTCGTTTCCGGGTGAGTGGTTGTCGGGAGTGGGAGAAGGTGCATGTTTGGGTGCAAACAGCATTTTATACCAGCATTTCTAGCTGCGCTGTCAACTGGAGCTATTTATTTTGGGGAGGTTGTAGTCTGAGATGAACTGTCTAGCTCCTGGTGATTTTGCATTTCTGCGTGGCAAAAGATGACAGTCCTCACGTGTTGAATAGAAGCTTGAAGTGTATCTCGGTGCTCAGGGTGTTGGTATGACCCCCCATCATAGCCTGCATATCGAGTGGGAAGGAAAAACACAGACGCAAGAAAAGTGAAGTTACTTCTCTTAGAATTTGTGGAGGCAATATTGAAGACTAGAGTATCCAAGGAGGACACCAGGACTAAGGGGCTACATAGTCTATTAATCTACTTATGGGATACCTCCGATGTTTTACGCGGTACATTTCTTGGTCCCTAGCTTCAGATGTATCACAAATGCCTAAAGATGGTGGCCTTGTTTTGCCTTTGAGTACCAGCAGGAGTACCAGCACGTACAAGGTTGGAAGAAGACAGTTACTATAATCTTAAGGGAAAGGAGACTGAAGGGTGTACATTAGGTCTGATGACTTCAGATAAGGGTGGTTTCCATGAGCCTCCACCACCAAATCTGCCATCTCGTGTTAACTACTTCTGCACTATCCTAGTAAGTGTGCTCAATTTGAAGACGTATGTTATTTTTTCTGGTTTCTATGTTTTCATGACCAAGTACATGTACATTTATTTCCCGCATCAGTGATTTGGCTTGAGGTAAGTCAGTTTACAGGCAGCATTAATTTGATGTATGTTGAAAAATCTGCAGGATTTTGCTGGTCTTAATTATTACAGACGGGAGCTCATTAAGGTCTATGAAGAACATGAGAAGATCGCGGTTGTGAGATAAGGGAGAAAATACCACTTTTCAGCTTCCGCAGAGAGTCGAATTGAAGACGACAGAAAGCCCCATTCCCAAATAACGAATTTAACATGAGAGGTACCGGTTTAGAAGCGTCGCCAACTGGTGATTCTTGAAGGTTTATAGAATGGTATTTAGTTTTATATAATCCACATACCAAGCCTTTGATGTGCGTAACCCTGTTAAAACTTGCTCAAAATCATGAGACGGGCATGGATTTTCGTCGACCATTATACAGATGGGTTCCACCATCAGAAACGAAAGCGCACGATGTTCGAAGTTTGCCTTATAACCAGCCGACGTTGTTGGGTCCATCTGCACGGTTTTTTGTTCGGTAATATAACCGTCCATTTATTAGAGACCTCCTCAGTTTTTAGCTTTGCTAACCACAAAGGACCAATTTATGTGATCAGAAGCATCAGTACGCATCCACAGTTATACAATCAATGTAAGTGTTTACGTCAATGCACTTCTAGTTCACCATGTTACATGTCAAGGTAATATACATTAATTCCACTGGGAACACGTGGCAGTAGATGGAAATGCATACTGAAACCGTTAAAAGTCCGAATGGCAATAGTTATAGACTGGTTTCAGGCATCTTTCATATTAGCGTAAGCAGCATCATTCGAGAAGTGTATGTGATGCATGGAAACTTTTAATCAAGCAGTCTACTTGATACAGAGTACTATAGAACATGTAGTATGGAACAACCGCAGGTAAGTCGTGTTCCGAGCCAATAGGTAAACTGGTCTCTCGTTTAATCACTTGTTCAGAATATTTGTGCTACTATAACAGCCGGGAAAGTTCAGACGGCTCATCACTTTAGGAGTCCTGATCAGTAGGTGAGTTAACTGCTACATTTCAGAAACCGCGAAAGATTTGGAGCAGTCCAATAATTCTTGGAGTCAAACAGCAGGTATTATTTCCTCTAAGTAGGTGTGTTCAGATTGAAATTCAGCCCCAGATGTCCTCATCGAGCTGTTGCTGTAGATGAAAAAAGAAAGAAGAAGCATGAGCAGGTATTGAAAAGGGAATTATTACGCAGGCAGTGCGTACACTGGTGATGGGAGGTAAGATAGAGGGTGTAGTTTACTCATGAGAACACAATGGGTCGGCCGAACGATTGGAATGGTCAAGATGCTTGATTTCTTCATTGCTAAAATATTTGCAATGAACGTTTACTCAAAATAACACTATTTCCTTTTGGTAGCATTTCCAGCGAAACTGCTGCTCACGATCATGCTTATCTCAACAAATAATCCCAAATACTGGTTTGATCAGGGCCAGTGGTCTCGCTCAAAGTATCGTCAAGTATGAATCATGTCATTCCACGCAAGCATTCACCACGAATTCATTTATAGTAAATTCCTTCTCTCCACAACGAGCAAATAATTAGTTGGTATTGCTGCGCGAGTTTTGATTTTGTTCTTGTGATGTATTCAAAAACATTGACCGCTCATTTTGTTTGACATCATTTAACATACCTGTACAACCACTCTGAACCTTTTGTTTCTATTAGTGTCACCATTGTATTTTGTTTTGAATAGAAACTGCGGTTGCAGTCAAAACTGAAGATTTGT